TCGTCAACAACTTCTAGCGTAGCGGTCATGGTCAAAAAGTTACGCACGCGAATAGGCATTACGCCAACTGTCTTTTGACTTAAAATTACTACTAGTTGTTCCCCGCGACTTCACCCGCGGTTTTAATTTATGGTTTTAATTTTTTCCACGCAAAACACTAATTCTTTTTCTAAAATAAATATAGCCTTAGTTACTACTTACAACATCACCTATCTACCAGTGAAAGTCCCGTCAAAATCGGTCCAGAACAAACAGACAGACAGACAAAAATTTTATAATAGTTTCTTTTTTGTTATAAGTACCGTTGTACGAGTATACTTTGAAATTGCAGACAGAAACACTCTAAATTTCAATTTTATTTATTTGTATAGATGTAGGTACTTAGCCATTGATTTCGTAATACAAAAGTCAATGAACATAGCTTTGTTTTCACACAATTGGTCCTATTTCCGCCAGAAACTAATTAAAAGTACGTAGGTATTAACATAATTTCGACCACAGGATACTAGTGTATTTAAATTCCTCATATAATATCAAACATGTAGCTCATACACACTCTTAAAATTTCGTAGCACGCGAGTAAAACGAGTTGATCCCCGCCGTCTCCAATAAGATTGTCAACTGCAACTTTTAAATGTTTCACCACATACGTGCAGAGCACGTGCAGAAATCTTCGTAATGTATCTTGCATCAATACTAAACCCGGTCTATAATAGAAACATAAAAGTAAATAAAAATGCGTAATTTCAAACTTTGATTGGATTAATAACTTCTATTTGAGCAGCCCGAAGTTTGTTTCATAATTCATTTATTACGTTTAAATGAGAAATTGCCGAGTTTTATTTAACGATAACTTTTAACGGTAACTTTCGTTTTAATTTCTACTGCCAATCAAATGACTGTATAAAATCCTTTCGGTTTAATACAAAATAGACAATCCATATTCAAATTAAGGTACAGCAACTCTGAAGCTAGGTGCTAATCTTTAGTTCTTTAATACGTGAGTAGAGTTCGCTCTCCGGCGGCAGAACTGAACAAAATTGAAACTTTTTCTCACGTGCCCCGCGATAAATAACATCGTGAGGAATCTTACATCATCATAACATCAACACGTAAAAGTCCTACATACATGAGCCTCTCCCATAGTAAAGATTTGCGGTAAAATGCTTCCTCGACGTTATCTGCCACCAGGTCGGCGCCACATAAAAATGAGGTGTAATATTTGACAGATTGACATAGCGGAGAAATTAATTTGTTTGAAAAATTACGTGTTTCTTTCTGTAATATTTCTTATATTTTATATTAATTAGTTTTAAAATAAACAAACCAAACCACAGATATTGATAAATGTAGAAAAATTAAAAAAAAAGAGTTAAAAATGTGCAAAAAAATTGGGGGAATTGTTTTGTGTATTAATATAATACTCTAGAAACTGATAAACTTTTATTTAAAACTAACTTCTCAATTAAATTATATTGTGTAGCAAATAATTTTAACTCAGTGTCAACTAGCGACATCTGGTGAGCAAAAAAATTATTAGCGTTCATTATAGGCGGATTAAGTATCGCGACTTTGATTTGACGGTGCTTCGCGATACCGATCTGAGTAGCTTACAGTCGGAGTAAGAGAAGGTCCCACAATTTATCGGAAGCCATAAGATCATTTGCCATATCCCAAGTCACCTCTCACGACACCTTCGACACCCAATGCTCTGAGGCTCTAATGCCGAGAATTAACTTAATAATAAAAATAGATTAATAAAATGTAATATCCACAATTTTAAGCAACTTAGTATACTAATAAATGCCTTACCTTAGACTTCGTCCGCGAGAACTTAAACAAAAGAACTTAAACAAAAAATCTGCAGATCTATAATATATGTATGTAGGTAAATGTGATAGTATTTTTGGGCAAGTACATAGCTAAATAAATGGTAAAATTAAAAATTTTTGTACAACCTACTTCAATATAAATAAAATGAGAACATCATCAATGTAGGCGAAGTCAATTAAATACGCATTATTAAGGATAACTCAAAAACTACTGGTCAAATCTTGATCAAATTTTTGGAACCACGTATACGTTATAAATGGTTCAGCCATTCCGAAGATTAGCTCGTACAGACAAACATACTGACAAAATGATTTCTTATATTTACGCGAAGACTAAACATGAAATGAAACTTAATTTTTACGGATTTTATAAATTAATATTCAAAATTATTTAAATTAATATTCAAAAACTGAAGGAAGTCAAACACCTCAGTCCCCCCTGTGACCATGGGTGCTGTAAAGCACCCGAACGTTGGGAATTAAAAAGTTAAATTAAACGCGATAAAATCCGTAAAAATTAGTTTCATTTAATAGAGACAAAATTTTTAAAAATGGTGGTTCACGTCATAATAGCATGTACAAACGCAAGTAAAGAAGAACAACTTCAATACATAGTATTTTGTGTCTCAGGGAGGAGGCCCACCATCTCGCGGCAGTTCTGCCGAAGCTGACGACCGTACGCCACCGCCACAGCTGCCACCTTCGCCATTCATACCACCAGCTGACACAAAACTATTTGCTCCATCTAACACTTATAACTTCAGCATGGCAGCTCTAACTGAACACTCATCTTTGGCAGGTAATTGATTATATTTTGTTAACTAGATATGTTGCGTTAAATAATACGAATTTACTACATCAAATTATTATGGTAACACATAATGCGCCTTGCAAATTGGCTTGTGTGATATATTACTATAACTTTGTTTTCCTTTCGAGATTCCATAAGGACTGTACATTTTTCCAGGTCTGCCCAGTCCACTGGCCCCGGATGGAATGGCGGGCACATCCCAAGGTGAGTCGCGGCTTGTCTAGCAGCAAATTTACTTTATGCATTACCTACATATATTGAAACAAACGATATTTTTAATGCACTGTCTGTCGTATGCCACCATCACCGCTTCCTCTCTGCTCTGTCATTATTAGGTTTATATATCATTATTAGGTTTTATATTTTTTTAAATGTATGAGGCAATTATCACGTGACCTATATACATATATATTAATCTATTTATTATTTATATATACACATCCTATTAACCCTATATGTATATATATATGTCTTCATTTTGTGCTCTGTGTTCTGTATTAAGTATTTAATGTTAGCTTTTTTGTGTTTTGGTTCGATGTGCGCGTATTAGGTATTATCTGTTTTCATTTAGCAGACTCGTGACGTTTCTGTTTTACAAAATGAGAATTGATCATTGAACCAAAACTCAACGTGGCGTGCATGTTTGTATTGTTAACTAGTTTAATGTATACTATACAAGAAAATAATACGCTAGCTTGTTTTATAGATGTGTCTTAAAGTATATAAGATAGGACAACCCCCGTTCCCGTGTTTCCAATTTTAAGTTTCATTTTTATTTCTGTTTGCATTTGTTTTCATGATACCGTGTAAATTATTTGGAATTCCTTTTATTTATTTTTTTAACGAAAACAGCAAATGCACTTGTATACTGTTCAATTGGCTGCAAAGTACTAGAAAGAGAAACAAAAATGCGAGAAGACGATTTCGATAGTAGCATGCGAAAAATTCACCAACAAGCATCGAGTTAGCTTATTTCCGATTATGAATTATTTACTTTTATCGCACAACGGATCCCATGAGTCATTCATGTTTCTAAAAACAGTTTCGTATTACCCTTAATCATAATTGTCTTGGGAAATATAACGTTCGGGACATCCAAGATTGGACAATGGAATTTTAGTAATGGTCAATCGGTGTCGAATTATATTTAAAAAAAAAACAGACATTCATTGAAGAATACTAACGCTTTTGTTCGAGAAACTCGAGAATCGGAATCGCCGACTTCGCGTCGCGCGGAATGTTATGAAAACAGCTGATTTAATTCACCATTCAAACACCGCTGAGCTTAACTAAGCCGCATGTAGGTCGAGCTAGGACACAAAAAACATGTATGCGTTACTAATATCGCTTCGCTATACGGCGCGACGGATGGCTATCATCAAACTGTAAAGGGGGGTGGCGGTGCTTAAAAAAAACAGTAATAATTGAGAGGCTACGATAAAGAAAGTGCATTAAAAGTGCGTTCCGAAGCTTCCAAGGGGCTAACTGCTTGTGTTGTGACCAGGTGGCGCCCGCACCCCCCAGGAAGATTACAGATGCGAGCCGTGTAACAAGAGCTTGTCCTCCCTGACGCGGCTCAAACGGCATATTCAGAACGTTCACATGAGACCCTCGAGGGAGCCCGTCTGTAATATTTGCCGGCGCGTATACTCCAGCCTGAATAGCCTCAGAAACCACAAGTCGATCTACCACCGAAAGCAGCAACCGCCCACCACGGCCGCCCAGGGCCCCTTCTACCCGGTCAATTGACGTCCGTGAAACTCGTCGCCGAAAACGTTGCCATACGAAGAACAAAAGCTGCCATCCTTTTCCACCTAAAACGCCATAGTCTTGCCCTTAGAAATTTGTTAAGTTTATGAAAACAGATTTGTAAAGCGATATGTTCCTAACATTTGTACATAGCATAGTTTTACGTGTACTTTGCATGCGCATAGCCAGAATCTATCGTATATAATCTATTCCTTAATCGTTACTAAAATGCCGTAGTGTCGTGTAACGTGTAAGCGCAGCGGTTGCGGCACCTATCTCAAAAGGCGCCGGCTCGGCTTCGCTTATACGTACGCCCGCCTCTGGAACCAATTGGAACATCTGTGATCGGTACACGCATAACCACCAACGTTAATTTTTTAAACGAAATTAAAAAATGAGCGCATTAGTCAAATTCGACAATCGAATCACGTTAAATTGCCTCTACAACCCAGGTTCGCAAAATTGCCACATTAAAAAAAATTATATAACTTTCGCGTGGCACTAAACTGTGCCAATTGGTTCCTTGAAAATGGGACCCGTTGGATGCGAGCGGTCGCAGTGGTGTTGGTATGCCCTTGCCGTGGGGGTCTCTGTTGACTAATGCGCTAATGTTGGTTGTTATGTGTGGCGCAGTGGGGCCATTGGGCGCGGGCCACCGATGCGAGGTGTGCGGCAAGTTGCTGTCGACGCGGCTGACGCTCAAGCGGCACACGGAGCAGCAGCACCTGCAGCCGCTGCACTCGGCGCGCTGCGGCCTGTGCCACAAGGTGTTCCGCACGCTCAACTCGCTCAACAACCACAAGTCCATCTACCACCGGCGCCAGCGCGGCCCGCCGCCGCAGACGCAGCCGCAGAACCTCACCACGGCCGACGCCAAGCTCGCCCCGCTGCCGCACCCCCACAGCCTCGACTTCTACAAGTTCAAAGACCAGTTCAACGTTTAATCCGCGCGCATCCCCGCCATCGCACCCCCTTTCTGAGCAATACTTTCTTTTCCACATTAGAGCATTATTAATATATTATAGATGATTTATATTTTTCATCTCGGCCGCCGAGATTGCCTATTATTACGATTGACTTCAATAAAGAAGGAGGTTCTCGACGCGTTTAGTTTACTTTTATTTTTAATGTTTTTCTATCTTTGAACTTTTAAAAGTCGATCTTGTTTTCCAATTGGCCGCACGGCAGTGGTTTACGAATCATCACAATTTTAAAAATACGACATTCCAATCATTGGAACAAAGGGACGATTTTTTTATTTTTAATTATGAGAAAGAGAAATGTTATTGAAAATATCGTGCCACTTTCACGCCCGCAAGACGGTACTGCGGTATGTGAAATATTCCTGATTTTTACACTATGTTAATGTGTGACAATAAGGCGAAGATAAAAAAATATTTTGAGAAAAGAGAAAAATCTTGGTGCTGTAAATTTATATATTAGGCTTAAATTTATAAAAAAAAAGGAAACAGTGTTCGTTATTAGAAACAAAAGAGGCATATTGTTTGAAACATTGTGTTCATTTTCAAGTTTCGCAATTTTATTTATTCTGTATTTTACCTTCATGATCTCACACTTAGATATTTATACGAGATTACTAAAAATCTATTTAAAGTAAATAAAAATTATATACACAGATATATAATTGGCTAATGAGGCTTTCAAATTGTTTTTTTTTATTTAGGTGATTTCTTTTTGTTTTTTTTTTATTAGAAGACTGAAACAATCCGAGAAAAAAATAGCACCAATGGAACAAACATTAACAAGTTTTATTTTTAATGTACCTAATCCGCAGGGGCACAGACATTCAGCACACACAACCAATAAAAAAAACCGATATTAAACCAAAAGTAAAACTACATCAATACATCACACACAATATAGTAATACTGAATTTCAATTTATTTATTTTTTTTCAAAGTCGACAACTTTCCAATTTTCCTTTATTTATGGCTTCTGATTCTAGTCGACTCATTTTTGTCATTTGCTATCTTTCTTACAATTTTAATGTTATTCAAAACATTAAGCATTACTTAGCTAAGTGAATCGCAAGGTGCCATTTAAGCGAATGAATTATGGCTATTTTTTACATATTTTTTTATATAGTAAATAATATGTTAAGTTACTTTTCAAGTGTAAGTTTTATCGCTGTCTTGTGTTCGTTTCTAATATTTTTATTATAATTTTTTTATTCGTTGACATTTCTTTTCACGTTTCTATATTTTAAATTATTTTACTTTGTACTCTTTTTGTATATTGACTTACAAATTTGTTGCTGTTTCGTTATAAAACTGTAATTAAATACCGCACTAAAAATAAAAATAATTACATGTAGGTGATAATACTATTAAACTGTAATAAAAAACTCTGTGTTAAATGTTCCTAAATTTGAACAGTGAATATTTTTCATTTATTACGTCTTGCTTGCCATATAGTCTTATCAATATTGCAAAATGAGCATTTAACGCATTTTATATAGTAGTCTAGATTCAGAAAGCTCACAAGTAATATGTAATATGTAGATGTTAAATTCTTCCAAAAATATTTTGCATCGGATTTACGCTTTACTCTCAGTCCTTTTCGATTGTAATTTCTTCCTTTTATACACGGGCAACAAAATAATATTTTCAATTACTGCGCCACTGAAATTTGCTTATGGACTTTCTTCTGGGTCTAGACTTTCGCGTTAACGTTAATCCATGTGTAGGTTTGATTATTCACATATATATATATATATATATATATATATATATATGTTTTCGTTATACGACTATACTCAACAATTATATAGTTCAATTAACACATCACTATATTTCACACGACTCGTATTGTCGGTAAAACTATTGTTATTTTTCCTTTTATAGCGTTAAGAAATTCTTATATAAGTGTAAATGTAAAACATAATTTATTGTAACGATATACACTTTAAGTAATTATTAGTGCCTGCTTTATATTATTATGATTACGTGTTTTTATTCAAAAAAGACATATGTTGCGTAATCTTCTAAAAATTTAGAAGTAGTGTTCGAAACACTTTACCTAGAAGGTAACGGATCAATGCTAATATACTTTTAATGAGAGGCTTCCTAAAATAAAATTTAATGCTATGTGTTATAAGATTTATGTTGTTATTACTAGATGCATAAACGCTTAGCTATTACTCGTTTGTTTAGTTAATTGATAAGCTTTATATTATTATACTTTTAACTAATTGGAAAGACTAGTGATTTGGTGCTAAAATGGAACGTCGTTCGAGTTAGAAAAATTCTTAAGCTAATGGAAAAAAAGTGAAAAAGGAATCAAAATTTTTTTTTAAATATTTCGCAACATTCCGTGCTTAAAGAGAATGTTAAGTTTATTGCAATCAATTGCAAATTTTGTAAGACGTAGGATTGTTGTTTTTTTTTTTGTAATTTAGATCATAGTTTTTACTGTTAATTTGGGTTTGGGAATTAAGTTAGTTGACTATTTAGGCGTAAGATTTATCTGAATTCATAGATAATAGCATCTACGTTTAATTTACGATTACAGGGATGTGCTGCTATGAGTGGCAGTACGGTAATAATTTGGCTTATTTCTTTGTAGCTAGAAATCATATGATGTTAAATTGTTTTTTCTAATCAAAAGTCGTTTTGCCAAAAGTAATAAACGCTATAGACTGATTAGACTAAGTCCCCATTTGAATCGTACACTATTAGGCGTATTCTCTAGATTAAAAATTGTACAATTATTTACTAAATTAACTACTTAGTAATTTTATATAATGAAAAAGTCGTAAAGTCAGAAGCGTACTGTTTCGGTATTATATCAAAATTTTGTTGGTGATTTTTGGATCTTTAAATTATTAATTTCGTAGCTGCTAAGTTTTACGGGATCTCAAAAGGCCGTCACGGTCTTTATGGGTTTTAATGGGCGATAACTACACCGTGTTCTAAGGAGCAGAACACATCCCTGTCGAAACTACATTAGTTAGGATCTTAGCAAGTTTAAGACTGTTCCTGTGACCTGTTTAAGTTTTTTTTTTAATCTTTCTATCGTGTCATGGTATTCGTTTCATACCACACGTGAAGCGAAGAGCCTTAATCCAATGTGTTCTAATACTTCTTGTTGGCTATTTTACCTATTTTATAAGAAATCTAAATTAATTTATTGGTTGTTGTATTGAAATTTTATTTTTTCTTCTTAAATTATTAAACTAATGTCCTTCGATTTGTTTTTGTTGATAATTGGCCCATATTATGTAATGCAGCCCATTAGATTGATACTTGCGTTCAGAAACGTGCTAAAAATATTTTATATTTTGTCTTCCATTCGTAGCGGTATTTTCAAAGATAAAATGAATTATTTTAAGATCCTTAAAATATAAATATTTGAATTGTATTACAACTGACATCACTAAGTAAGGGGCCGCAAATTCATGTAATGACATGTTTATATATCCTGCTGCATATTATGTATTATATATAAATACATTCTTTTTCTTTTATATAATTTTAAAAATAAACACTTGACGTAACTACTCATAAAATGTAATTGTAATCGTTAAACGGAACTTCATAAATCCTAATATTGATGATAATGGCGTTTTTAATAAAAACAAATATACAATGTCGCTAGTTTTATTAATAACTACCCTAATTATATACTAAATATCATGTAAAGTAGCAACTTTCAGGCTTAATGTAGTTTTTTCTTAATGAGCTTGTAGTTTGAACCATAGTGCATTGTTTTTTTTTTTATTTTCTCAGCGCTTTACATACCTCTGGTATTGTGCTAAAGTATTATTTTTGGCAAATTCTGCATGTTTTTTTGTTCTAACACATCATCGGCCACTGTAGCTTCGCCATCATTTATATTTATTTGTTTTTTTTTTATTTATTTTATTATACTTTGAAACACTTTTTTATTATTTTATCGATTCAGTTTGAAATTTAAAAACCACTAAGAGAATAATAGGTCCACATGACGTATTTTGTTTTACCGCGTCCGGGGAGCAACCCCATATTTGTTTTGTTTTTTCGATTTGCTTGCAGGTAAAAAGTTATTCTCGTGCTCACTATGCGGGAAAGTATTGTGCTCAAAGGCGTCTCTGAAACGGCATATTGCAGACAAGCACGCCGAGAGGCAGGAAGAGTACAGGTGCACGATATGCGAGCGAGTGTATTGTTCGAGAAACTCCCTGATGACCCATATATACACCTACCACAAGTCCAGGCCGGGGGAGACGGATCAAATCCGATTTTTTTAGTGACTACTTGGGCGGAGTTGGTGCGGCATGCGGCAGAATTCATCTAGCAAAGAAAACCATCACGACGTCAACCTACACTCAACCGCCGTACATAACATCACTCACAAAGGTTAGAACATGTTTATAGACCAACATAGGGTAGGAATCATTAACGAAAGAACAATTTTTGATCCAAGATCAAAATTGAAGGGTCCTTTTCTGTTTTAGTTTCGGTTTTTTTTCCTTTTTATTTTTACGAAAATATTTTTTTCTTAATTTGAATCCCAAGCCAAAGGCCCCCTTCCCATCGGGTGTCGCAGTTTTGACGTTGTTGTGTTGCTTGGAGCATGCTTCTATCATTTTTGTTATCACGTGTTCTGTGTCATTGTGGTTGAAAGAATTTCCTTAAGACTTTTAAATATATACAAAATCGTGATTATTGTGTAGTTAGTCAATGTGTACAGTGCATATTAGTATCTTAATTTTATAATAATCATTATTAACCTCATACATTCTACGTATTATAAAAGTATAGTTATTGAAGTATGCCTTCGAAATTTAAACTGTCTCTAAAGTATTGCAAGTGTTGCCTATTAACATGTTAATATTCCTGTTGCTATATCCGACTATGTAGATGTTCAAAGGAGGGTTGTTTTTTTTAATTTTCAGCTGTACCGCCCCTCCGTATGCCTCCGCCAACAGCAGGCGGTATCAACGAGCCGCAAGAGTGTCCATACTGCCGCAGGACATTCTCTTGTTACTATTCCTTGAAACGACATTTCCAAGACAAGCACGAGCAGTCCGACACATTGTACGTCTGTGAGTTCTGCCACCGAAGGTATAGGACAAAGAACTCGCTCACCACTCACAAGAGTCTCCAGCACAGGGGCTCCAGCGGCATGCTGAAAAGGCTCCTCAAAACTTCGGCTCTTCACAGCGCGCTGGCCCCGTCCCCGCACCACCTCTTCGACCTGGGTGCCAGCGAGCACGGCCCGCAACTCCCGCCCGGCCTGCAATGACCACAGACCATGGCTTGAATCAGTGGTAACGCTTCCTGTTTCAAATAGACTTGAACGTTGCCAGGTGTATTTGAAATATGGCACTGGACTCGGACAAAAAAGGGATAGCATATATGTGCAATATACGGACAATGCCAAAACTATGCAGGATTATGCCGCATTATAATGATTAATTGTGTATTATAAAAGTAGTAAAATATTGACGTTAGTTTTAAAGTTACGTTAACAGTATTCGCACTCGGCCGCTAGAGGCCGCTTAGTGTACGCTTCGACGATCGGACTTCGCTTGTGACTAAACGACACGGTGGTCTCGAGCATTTTCTAGTGGAAATGTTCAGTGTTCAAAATGACAATGTAATTCAGAGCAATACTAAGGTATTAATATTTCTAGTACTGCCAAAATAATGCCAACTGTATTCTTAAATAAAAAAAATGCAATTTTAAACAAAATTTTCGACAAATATCTAGTGTCAAATTAGATTCGGTAACTGTACAAAAAGGAACGTACAAATTTTAAACAGTAATTTTTAAAAGAGGAAATTCAAAGAAAATATTTTTTAAGGAAACTTTTTTCGGATCGCCAAATCTAAATTTTAAATACAGATTATTTAGAGATTAATAACCAAAATTTTTTAGATAAAAAAAAATTAAAAAGTAAAAAAAGTGTTGATGTTGAGTAAAAATTAAAGACTTCTTAGAATCTGATTTTGAAAGTACAAAATTAAACGTCTGATTGAACGCTATTTGTATTCTATGTCTGTTTTGGCTTCTATTATTAACTTATAGCATATATTAATGAATTGAATCACGCACAGAAAACGTCCAAATGCTAGTCGAGTAATTGAATTAGTTACGCTAAAAAGAGATAACAGCTTCACGGACTTTCTTTGTACTAAAAATCATTAATATATGCTATAGGGCTATTAGGGTTATCATCAGTTTATATGTAAGTAGCTGTGCCTTCGTTCAACTTCATGCCATCAATATTGGTTTGAAAGGAATTTCCGAACTGTGAAGGAATGCGCTTACAGTTGGCAAACGCAACACCATCTGTCGAAAGTGACTAAATGAAAAAAAAATTCTACGGGATTGCCAGTCGCCTGACATTACCTAGAATACAGGGTTAAGAGTAAGAAAAGGGAAGTAGAAAGGAAAGAGGCTGGAGAGCCTAAAAGTGCGTAGGTCTTCGAAAAGCGGTAATTAATTCGACGATCGTATACGTGTGCATGATTTCAAATCATGAATTGAATATAAAGTAATCGTTTCTTCTGTATAAAATTACGTAGACATTAGGTATTAATTAATATAATTATATTTAATCTGTATCCATTGTCGGATTTCTCTCTATGAGTGTATAGTGGTTCTTATTTAAATTAATGTCGACCAACGTAGCGGACGTCACGTTATTGAAAATTTATTAGATTATTATTATTATTATTATTCTCAAAATTCTTAAGATCGACCATAAGATGGCTACAGATTGTATAAAATATTTTTATTTACTTATAATATAGGAAATTGCTTGGGTACCGCATTCGGCATACAGAATAAGATATACATATCTATTCAGGGTTTACACTAACAATAGAAATAAATTGAGAACGAAAAAGAAGGAAAAGTTTAAAAATGCCTACATATCACATAAATATGATATCTATAGGAATCCTACACAGGAAGAAAAAGTATTTTTAACATCGTGATATTTCACAAAGCCAAAGAAAAAGAAATGGGGATAATATTTTGCCAATATGCATTTATTTCTAGTAGAATAAAAACATTCTGAACAAAGAAATAAGCTAAAATTGTATTGTGCCATATCTTTATGAATTATATCTGTCGCAGTAGGATAGTTAAGGCTGTGATATAGTTATATCCCTAGGGATATAGTTATATACCGTAATATAGTTATATGAATGCGGTTCTTAACTATCTCACTAGACTAATCTAGTGAATTAATTACAATTGTAATTTGTTAGTCAAAACTACTTTTGACTTATACTTTTGCATTTTTGAAATAAAAAGTTAATTTCTTTCAATATCACATTTTACATCAATATAATGTACGCGGCTTTAGGGTGGCCCAAGGGCACCAGGCGCACCTTAACCTACTGTCAAAAAAGGAACATGAACAACAACACAACAAGAACGTCAAAGTCGTGAAATTTGTTCCTCCTGTACATTCAGTTTACAATTATAATAATTTCACTAGATTAGTCTAATAAGATAGCTATGAACCGTGCTTAACTATATCCCTAGGGATATAACAATATCACAGCTTTAACTATCTTCCTGCGACATATCCACTGTTTTAACATATCGAAATTGATCACTCTAAGTGAAAATAAATCAATATAAACAAAAACTTCTCAAGTGAGCAGGATGTATACAATGTAAATGCACCGTTTCAATGCATTTTAATTCAGTTTTCGAAAACATAATTAACATTTTCTTGCATTTATTTTTTTTTCAATGGTAAGCTAATATAAGAATTTAATTTAAGATGTTTGCAATTTCTTTTTCGGAATGTTACATATTATTCGTACTTTGTGATATCATTTTACATTTTTAACGTTATTTGGTAGATTTCCAAATAGTTTAACGATTAAGATATATATTCAGTTTATCCTCAGCTAACACGTGGGGTTTTGAGCTTTTTTTTTAAAAAAAAAGAGGTTATCCCCAGATAAAGCGTGCATACCTCTGATTTTTCAATACCTCAAGTATATTATTTTGTTTTTGATTTTTTATTTCACTGTTGATACTTACTGGTTGTCTATTTAAATTCCGATACATAGAGAATGCAAATATCAGTTCGGAAATAAACATAGTATCATTTTAGGGAGCTTAGAAGTGAAAAAGCAAGCGGGTAGTATGAATTGTAAATATGTTATAAGTTAGTAATTAATACATAATTAAAGTATCGTGGCATCATTTTGGAATAAACGCCTCGTGATATTATTAACTATATAGTAAATAGATAAAATCATTAATGGAAAGGATTTTTATATATTCTACTAATGGATTACTAATAGTAAAACTTAGACTTAGTCTTTCCTTAACGTTCTTAGTGTTTGCGTTTATTGTTTTCGCTGTGCAATTATTTTATTCGTTCGGCTGTTTGTAAGCTTGTTGTTGGTTGCTTCGTTGATGGAAAATGTTTGGTTTGTCTTTCCCACCATTTTTGTTTGTTAAAATTTCGTGATTCAAAATTTTTGATCTCAGAGAACAGCTGCGAACTACATCAGATTTCGGAGACAGCCGTTGGTGATTGTTATTAGGTCTTATTGTGTTAAGTTTGGATAATGTGTCGGCAAAAGAAAAACAATCGCAGCAATTAAATTCAAAACGAAAGAAAAATAAACAGCACTAAATCTCACAAACCGCAAAATACGGCGAAACAATAAAAATATTTTATATTTTGCAATGTATACCAAAATACTGCATTTTTAAATACTAAGTTGATAAGTCGGAGTAACTTTTTTTAAAGAAGTAAATTATGTAATTCACTGAGGTTTTACTTTATGATAATTATTACTTTCGCTTGTTCGCCCGATTAACGTTTATGTTACTAAATTCACACTTAAATAACCGACTGTGGTACTAAGTAAGGTAATGCACAATATAATCAACAACGGGATGCCTTCGTAACAGTACAACTCTAACAATAGCCTACAGTAAGTAAATATATAAGGAATATCGCAAAACTCACATTACGGAGATAAAAATTGCCGGTATCGGGCAACCCCAAAGCGCTAAAGTAACAATAAGCAACAGCGGTGATTTCTATAACTTGTTTTATAGATATTTTTCTAAATGTAAAAAATCATAAGTCCGTATATATAATATAAAATTATGTAAACACGTCAAAATGTTTTTAACCAGTTTACCGCGAAATGCTAATAAACTGCCAAATTTTTAATAACAATCGCTATTTCGAAACTCGATATTTTTTTAAATGTCACGTCGAAAATAGCCTTTAAAAATGAACAACAAATTTTGGTAAATTGTAAATAGATGATAATAAACCGTCGAATTACTTCACAAGTTCACAAACTGTTTCACAAATCAATCTTGCTCTTTTATATCTAAGTATTACCTCCAATAATATTAAGTATTACCTCCAATTTAATCGTTTAATTTTTAAATATTATACTTAATGTAGCAAGTGAAACTGCCTTTCTATCAAACCACTGTTAGAAATAAATTTAAGATATTTATTTCGATAAATATAATGTATACGGGGTAGAATAAGTTATAAGGGAATATGAATATTTGAAAACAATTTTTTCTAACACTGGTCGGGGATAAAGGCATGCTTTCAATTACTTTAACTTGGACAAGTCAATATACGTGATCGCTTATATTTATGTAAAAGGATTATTATAGATATTGTCAAACAAAGCTATAGCAAATGTTAATAGTTTTTTCCCATACACACATTATTTTTGTTAAACCATTTCCATATTTAAAATGCAATAGTATTTATTGTCTCTATTTTTATTTCTGTCAACGAATTCTGCTGGCAGAAGTAAAAAAAGAGATCCAACCAGATCATACAATAGTTAATTATATAGATAATTTGAATTCCTCAACCGAAGAAGCGAAAGCCATTTTTAAGGATAAATCGACTGTTAAAAGATAACTATTATCTACATAAATCATCAATATTTTAAAAGCGTTGGGTATGGGCTTCTGGAGAATAACCGATTTTCCGTTTTTGCTTTTATTTATGGCGATAATGACAAATATAATTAAGGCTAATTCAGTTTTTTGCTCTCATTTTCTAACAGCCCAAAATGTCTTTTAATAAGTCGTTTTATTCTTAAGTCAATAGCTTTAATATATACAGTATCTTCCAGTCTAATATATTTATTATATATGTACCAATTTTAGCAATAGTTTTCAGTCTGCCACAGTACCTCAGTAATTATAACACTTATACGTATTTAACTATAACGATTAGCACAAGATCGCTTCATGGTTATCCAACTTATAAGAGCAATGTTATTTGCAGTATTTTAGTTGTTAAAAGTTATTGTTGTTATCATTCTACGATAGTTTACACGAGGCTCACTAAAACGCCTCGAAATCTTTCACCACAACAAGAGTGAACATTTTAGATTACCATATAACGACCTCTCTGATTTACAGCGCCTTTTAAATTATCTTTTTAAGCTTTTATTTTAAAATTTTCATTCGTAAGCAAAAATATTATTCTCTTTATAATAAAAGAGTTTTCTTTTTTGATAGAAATAATATGGTTGTTGTTAGTAATGACATTGATTACTAATTTTATTATAAAATCATGTGAACATTAGTGTTCGTCATTATTTTTATACCACAGTAACTAGTTACATAAAACATAGTTCCGTAACTCGAAGTGCACTTACAATCTCTTAAATAAAAATAAGTATTATAAACTATAAGTAGTCGCTTCTTCGGTTGAGCACTTGTTGGTAGCCAGTCTTGCAGCGACAAAATAAAAGTATTTACAATTTATTCACTTACGACATACAATATACTTACAGTTATATTACTAGAAAGTAACTTTTTTATCTACAGATAATGAAAAACTGTGGCGCGATTTTGCTAAAATAGTTGAAAATAAGCGTTGTAAAAATAGCGTTGCTATTTTTGTATCAATAAGTTTCCAAGCGACCTCAAAATAGTATTTTTGCGCTAATGTCAAAAAAGTTTTTTTTTTTAAATAATTATATCATGTTAAATCTTATATAAAGACGTTATTAAATTTTAACAGAATCCCGCCACTAATTTGTTACGCTTTGGTGACACATTTTATACACAGAAATATTTTTTTATGGAGAACAATTTATATGTCAATGTTAATTAAGTGGCAATTCTAATTTTAACTGCACTATATTTTGCTGACACACTTAGATTTAGGTTTTTGTCTTTTTTCGTAATTTAATGTATGCACGATCTGCGTTTTTATTAGCATCGATTTTTTTTTCTTTATTTTAAGAAGTTTCCAGCCTCAAGTGATGCTTACACTCGGTCAATTATAGAAACGATCACATATTAATTTATTGTATTTTTATTCAAATCAGACGTTATGACTGAGTGTAAGTAACACTTGCGCCGATTTAATATGCCTAAACTAATATTGTGTTACTATTATGTAAAAGTTATAGTTTGCCATCGTTGATCAAAGAGGAAGAAATATGTTTAAATACATTTAGTTAATGAGTTTTGTTATACTTTTGATGTTCGGGAAGTATCAGAGGGAGAGGGTTGTACAAAAATGTTTCATAGTATTGTGTATTGGTCGATAAGGTTTAGTTATGGTGGGACCGTGTATTGCGGACCCGTAGAGAGGTAGATCTCCATTGAGAATTGTTGTAAGTTGAAACAGCCATTTCAGTCGAGACACTTCAAGTACTATTGTTGTAAGTAGAAACTGATGCTTAACAATTACAGGTAGAAGGGGAAAACGGTTTCAGTTGTGCAAAATAATATTAAGGTACGTGAGGGTAATATGGCCACCTTAACCTTTGCCGCCCTACTAAACCAAAACTAGAAGGTAAACAGCGACAAAAACACAAAGTCGTATACTATAACTAATTTATTAAGAAAAAAATAGCAAACAATCTTTGGCAATAATTAGGAACACTTCGAAAAATCAACTCAGAAAACTAAATACACTGCACAATACGAAAATCGACTAAAATATTAAATATAAAGTCAACTGTCAAAATGGCGCCGATAAAGCAGCGCCCTTTTGACCCTTTATTATTTGATTGGCTGATGAAGAGCTATATATCACAGAGCCATCTATGCAAACAAGGCTGTAGTTTTTGAGTTATGAGAAAGTGACCATATTAACCAGATGACCATATTATTACCCTCACGTGCTATAATTATTTAAAGATTGGATAATATTGAAAGTGTATATATTAATTTACGGAATTATCGAAAAAGAAAACCTATTAATGAACTTCGGACGTAAATATAAAGAATATTTTGTCTTTATTTATTTATTCTTCATTGCATTTCCTTTATTAAGTAGGGATACTAAGGTTAGACTTCTTGTTCTCTTCAGTGAAACCGTCAACAAATGCCTCTGAAATAAAATCTAAGTAATTTGACAGACAATATTTATACAGTGCAAAAATTTGTATTTTTAGAATGCTTGATTTTACCACCAATTTTTTTTAGAATAAGGATATTATTTATGTGTCTAACAAAACGACTACACACGAAGTACATTTTAATGTCTGAATTGTTCATGTATATTTTCTTTTTAACTGTAATTGTTAAGCAAATGTGTCTCTACCTGTTTGATGTTGTTGATATATGTGAAAGGAATCAATCCGGGCTGCGCAGTACATATCAAATGTCGGATGAACTTAGTACTGTAAGTATCTTCGGGTCTGACATCGGGGGATATTCGATTGCAATTGGTTTGTTTAAAAGCAGTCCTCTCGGTTTTAAAGTGAAATCTGCGTTTCGAAGTCTCATGCGGAATAACAGTTGGATGTAATAAAAGTATAAAATTTAATAAACTCGCAGTGATTCCATTGACGTTACGCATTTTTATTGTTAACAAACTATTCCCTTCCCTTGAACAGTATTTTACCGTGTAGTGGCAATGTAAGAATATCCACTACCCCATACCATCCCGTGGGTGTCGTAACAGGCGATAGACTGAAACAAATTAGGACGTCGGCATCAGCGTCTTTCTAATAACGACTAGTAATAAAAAACTGCAGTTTCCGACCCCGCTTGACAAGCGTGGCAGCTCTGGAAAATAGCACCCTTAAGCCACAATCTATGGGGGAGGCCTAGTGGACGTTAATAAGCTGTAACGGCAACTGAATAGTATTTACAAATATTCAGACTCAAAAATAACAATCTATAAGGAATGCAGCTGGACCCTGGACGCTTGTAGACTTAACTCTAAGCGAATAACAGAACAGAGGCTATTCCCAAGGAGTGTATAATAATTATTTATGTGTGTATGTATATGATCCCCACATACACCCAGTGCAACAACGTACAAGACGACCGATTGATGAGCGAAAATAAATTGAGAAAATTTAATTATAGCTAATATATACACTTTGGTTGAAGATCTTACCTAATTATTTTCTCATCACAAATATAATGAATCTAATAATTTTCTTTTATAAAATAGAAGTCACAAGCGAACTTACAGTCAATCGTGATTAAAAGACTACCTTCTACACAGCCTAAGAACTGTAACAAATTACAAACAAGGAAGGCTAGATATGCGTTGTAACATAAGAGGGAATGTCTCGCCGCCTATTATTATACATAATGACTCTCTATACCTTTTACTCAATACTAAAACCTTTTAGACCGGAACACAGCAGTGCAGTCTGGCGACAAATTTAGGTAAGAGGGTAGAACCTACCCAGGGGAACTCCCCGACAGAAATGAAGTCCTACATAGTAACTCTCAAATCTGTAACAATATATTTAATCATTCATTAGAAGATAATATTTTTTATTCATTATAGATTACAAGAATACATATTGAAAGTCATTAAAGTTTTACTACTAAGAACCGGTCTTACCGGTTCTTAGTAGTAAAAAAGGTTCAGCGAGACTTTTTTTAACATTAATTTACAAAACAATATTTTGTACAATTAAGTATGAAAACATTTAGGAACAGTATCGTAGCGATCACCTCATTTCTAGGCGTTATTACCAATCATGAATCTTTTAGTGGTATAATAACCCTTAAACATTTTTTGCGTAATTCGTTGTATTTAACAGTCGTAGAGCCACGCGGCAGCTTTTGCTGTCGCACGGATGGGCCGGCTCGAACCGGGGTGGTACCACGACCTCACAGAAAACCAGCGTGAAGTAGAGGTTTACCTCTGCGTTTCGCTTGGTGAATGCAGGTGGCCGGAGGCCCACTTTACTGGAAATGAGGCATTCCATCTTAGTCCTCACGGGTGACAACGCATCTATATATTGATTTGTAATAGAGGATAGATGTAGATGTCTATGGGCCACAGCAACCACTTACCATCAGGTGGACTGTGTGCTCGTTTGTCACCCTTATCCTATAAAAAAAAAATCGTTACTGCCTATTAAAAGTCCACGCTGTTTCTGTTCCAATAATTTTAAAATTAATAAGCTAATAAGTACAAGGAGGTATTCTTTGGAGAGAAGGTCGGCAGGACCAACGGCCCGACGACAATTTATTTACGTGTATAACTAATTTATAGATATTTGATAAATTAAAAATAATATTTAGTAAATTACAAAAAATGCTTCTTTTATATTGGAAATATCCGATCACCGGTAACAGCCTATATACGTTTAACTGCCGGGCACAGGCCTCCTCACATTTCTGATAGAGTTTTCAGAGCAAGGAAAAAAGGCTTTCTTTACTTGGTAATATAATATAATATAATATTTAAATATTGGCATCTTCCTTTTCATTAGCTTGTTACAGTCCTTTGCTAGACATGAGCTTCGTCTGGCATCGTCAATGAAGCTTAGCAGACGGACCTCATTGACAACCACAGAGTAAACTAAATTTTATACTTGTCGACTGCAGTACCAGCCGTATAGCATCTTTGAGGTAGCCAACTTTTGTGCTCGGATTTGTAGGAAAATTGCATAACAATCAAACAATTTCATTGTTATTAAAATAATAATTAAACTAAGGGTTTACTTTACTTTTGGGCTTACTCTACCTTTAATTATTAAACTAAGGGTTTATGTGTTTAATTATAAGAGATTTGTTGTTAAGATCTTCTATAATCAACATAAATATTATTATGAAAAAATTAAAGATTACAATATAGGTTGTATGGGTATTGATCGCTTTGTCTTTAAGGAATTAAAAAATATATTGTCAATGTCAAATGTCAATTAATTTGTCAACAATGTTATTATCACGTGTGTAATGTGTATTTCTTCTTCTGATTATCTGATTTTATACTTTTGTTTGAGATAATTGAATTGTTTGAGTATAGGGGTCGTAATAATGGATGCCTACGATATCTTTAAAAAACTTACCAAGGGTTTAAAGTTTAAATATAGAGTACTAGGTGTTAAAAATGATGTAAGTATTTTATAACCCCAATAACAACAATATTTTTTTTCTGTAAAGATCTACTCGCCGTTCTTTATTATATTTAATCAACTCTGTCTTACAGACACAAAGCGCTAAAACTCCTCTAAAGAAAGACATTGACAGTCAAAAATCTCCAGAAATTAAGGAGGAAATTGAAGAAGAAGAGCCAGTTTTGTCTAATAGTGAGAGTGATTGTGAAAGCGGAAAAGATGATTTACACATAGTAGAAGGTGTCAAAATAGGAGAAAAAAGGAAAAAGAAGATAAAAGACAAGCCAGAAGATTTGAAAAAGAAATTGGAGTTAGAAGAGGTATAAAAGATCATAATATGATTTCTTTCTTGGTTTAAACCAATTTCTTTACAAATTTAATTGGTTTTGCTATAGATATTGTACCTGATGAGGTATGCAGGGAGATAATGAATGCAGGTAACTTAAGTCATACTTTATCACCTTGTCTTTGGCAATATTGCATGGGCAGCCCTGGGCTTGTGGAATCATGTAGATGGGCTATAATGATGATAATAAATAACTAATAATGAAAGTTTGCAAAATATGTGAAATGAGTAAACACACTTACAGCACTGTAATTTGTCATAACTTATACATATTGTTAACTATCTGCTGCTGGAAACCAAACTAAATATAATGTGTGCACAAACTCAAGTTTGTACACTTTTTGTTGGATGTGGGTAAACAGTTGATTATGCATCTAGAGTATCATATATCATTGTAAAACACTCATGGCCTTACCAATAATATTTGATTATGGCTTGCTTAACTTAAGCATTTAACTTTTTTATCTCTGTACCTATTTTCTGCCGACTTTCAAAAAGGAGATGGTACTCAATTTGACTGTATGTTTTTTTTTTATGTGTGTTACCTCATAACTTTTTACTGGGGGAACCGATTTGGATGATTATTTTTTAATTTGAAAGCTGGTACTTCTCGTGTGGTCCCATATGAATTTGATCAAGGTCAGACCAATAGTTTTGAGTTATTCTTAATAACTTATATTGAAGTCGGCTGTACAAAAATTTTAATTTTAAATTATTATTTTCTATTGTCATTGCAAAACACTCGTGGCCTTAGTTAAATCGATACAAATAAATAAAATTGAAGTGCATTGAGTTATATGTACTACGTACAACAAATGTACGTAGTACATTATAACTCAATGTTGAAGTGTCTGTTTGTAATGTCAAAATTACAGCTTATAATTAAATGCATATGAAAGTATATACGGTAAGCCATAATCAAATAATAATATTTGATTATGGCTTGCTTAACTTAAGCATTTAACTTTTAATTATCTCTGTACCTATTTTTTTCTATTATTGTTTAGTGAAGAAAGAGAAAATAAACAACCTTAACATTACCGTTTCAGCCTATCAAAGTGCACTGCTGAACATAGGCCTCCCCCATAGACTGTCTCATAGGGGAATATTTGACATAGTTGACACGCTTGACAAGTAGGTTGGCAACTCCATCTTTTTATTTTTAGTTATTAGGATAGGACAACACTGCTGCCCATCTCCTGGTTTATTTCTCTCTGTCGCCTCTTACAACACCCACAGAACGATATGAGGTGGTGGATATTCTTACAAGGTCATTGATGGATAGTCATTACAAGGTACTTAAATCAATATTGACTTTTATAAGTAAGCCATCAATGTTAGCTTTTTTATTTTATTTTTTCTATTTTAAATAACATTTTTCTGTTTTCAGCAAAACCGTTTCCGTAATGAACATGGCATTAAGGCAGTTGGACGACATGTGCCAAGCGCATTGAAAGATTTTTCAGAATTGACGTCAAGATACAATGTCAGCAGTGCCCTGGTTGAAACCATTACACAGTGTGGTTATACAGAGCCTACACCTGTTCAGAGACAAGCACTGCCATGCATGTTGGAAGTGAGAACCTTCATTACAAAACATTTATTATTATCACTATTATACTTATAACTACCACTTGTCAGTGGCCCACCAACAATGCCTAAACATTACCATTAAGGCTTATCAACACTGCAGAACTTAGGCCTACCCCATAAATTGCCACTAAAGGGGGATATTTGCCATAATTGCTACGTTTGGCAAGTAGGTAGGCAACTTAATTTTTTTATTTAGCTGTTATCAGAAAGATGCTGTTGCCTACAACCTAGTTCATTTTCCTCTGTCACTTCTTCGAACACCCACGGGATGATATGGGGTAGTGGATATTCTTACAATGCCACTATACAGTAAAAATACCCTATGTCTGGTGTAAACAAGATGGTTATTACCACCACACGCAACTGACACATCCTAATAACTAACAAAAGACATTATGGTGATAAATAAAGGGTCTTTCATCTATTTCAAATTTTTCAAATTAAATCTGACCGACTGCCGATTGTTGCTGGTACAGTGTGATAGTATCAATTCAGTGCTTACCGACAGTCCCTCTTCTGTGTACTGTGATGCAAAACACATGTTACCAACTAAAAAAAATTTAAGAAATAAATGTATTTACTTTGGCCTATCAGTACCATATTTGCGAAAATTTTATGTATGTTCACAAAAACAAAGATAGTTTTAGTAAAAAAATATATATACACTCTGTAAACAATAGGAACAAACACTAGCTAGTGATACCGGTCTCCCGACTCCACAGAGTCAGTAATTCATTATTGGGGCAATGTATATGCTATTACAACAAAGTCCCAGAAAATATACAAGGTATCTCTATTACCAAGTTTAAATATTTAATAAAACAAAAGCTGTGTAAAAACGGTTATTATAATATTAATGAATACATGGTTGATAATAACCCCTGGGAATGAGGTGGTCGCTTCCAAGCTGTTTCTAAAATAAATTTTGTAAATAGTTTGTAATAATTTATATTGTAAATTTTATTTTTAAAAAATGGTCCCGCACAAGAACCAGCAAGAAACCAATTCTTGCTTGTTCTTCCCAGGACAGAGGATTTTTTTCGAACCAATGGTAAAGTAAAAAATGGCTTTCAATAAGAATTACTTGTAAATCAATATTGAATAAGAAATTATTCTATTCTATTCTAATGGAGCAGAGATTCTTCATTTCTTCATTATGCGGGTTTATTTCTAATTATTTTGTTTACTGTTGAGCATATGATAAATCAATATTTTTGTTGTTGGTTTATTGCCTTGACATTTAGATCAAACATGACTCGGAAGCAACAATATAAAGTAAAATTTCAGCCTAAATACTTCCTACTCCCGGGCACAGACCTACTCCAATTTTTCAGATGGTTTCAGGGCAAAGAAATGTCTGCTGCACTACATGTTCCCAATACGTGTTCACTTATCTTAGGATTTTCTTTTTATTCTCAATCACGGAAGAATCCTCAAGATGTTTTCTTCCACTGCCAAGCATGTGGTTACTCAGCACATAAAATTGTAAGTTATAAACTAACAATGGTGTTGTTGTATTTTAGGATCGACAAATACTAGCCTGTGCTCCAACAGGATCTGGTAAGACAGCAGCATTCCTTGTGCCACTATTACATGTACTGGGCGGAGCTCAAGGTGGACCCCGAGCCCTTATACTATGTCCTACACGGGAACTGGCTCACCAAATATATCGTGAAGCTCTGCGGTTGAGTGCATCCACACAGCTCAGATGCTCTGTTATCAGGAATGTTAAAGAGAGCAAGGTCAAGGAACGAGAAGCTACTATTAGGAAAAGCGGTAAGTAAATTGCATTTACCACCATCATCATCAACGTGTACTGCCCTACACAAGTCTGCTGCCGAACATAGGTCTATCCCAGCATTTACCAACAACCTCGTCATGGCCCAGTTTGCCCGTGTTGCCAGTGTTAGCATATAGATCTTAGACATGGTCCTTTACTGCTGGCCATATATGGTAAGGTGATGAATGAATGAATAATGGTCCAGTTGTTAGAGCATCCATCCTCATCATCTGCAAAAGCTTACAGTTGGCATGAGTACTGCCAGCAGTACTCATGCCAACTGTAAGCTGTACTGTTGGCATGAGTACAAGGGAGAATGCATTTTAATTGTCACACTTGATAGGTCAATCGAGGATAGGAGTCTCATGACCAGGGCTCAAATTCTAAACCGTTTTCGGTCATTGACCCCAAAACCGGTTTTTGCGGAATACCGGTTTTTCACTAATTTAGGTTTAGGTAGTAAGAATTAACCGGTTAAAACCAAGTTTTGTAATGTCCCCCTTCTCCCTTAGCCCGCTTGCACCTAACTTTGTACGGCTGCCCTCTGTTTAATTCACGACGTTTTTAGACACATGAATGATATATTCATTGCATTCTAAGTGACTGCCTTGTAACCTACTCCCTCATATTTTTTCATCTTTCAGCAACAATTATATTATGAATGAAAAAAAAAAGATGTAAGTTTAAAACAGAATTAATTATATGTTATCTTCACTTTAAAATTAAGTTTCAATATCAAGTTTAATTTGACGTTATATATTTAAATCGACTTTAATTGTATTTAACGTTTTCTATTAAAGTTACGCTATGCATTTTTATTTCAATGTCATTAGTTTTAGTAATAGATCGCGGTAAATAAACTTTCTTAACAGAACACGATATTTTTAAAAGTTTATGAAATTATATGTTATAGTATTTTTGTTCTTTTTAGGACTAAAGTGAGGCAGATTACCAGATTTTTTTAAATTCCAAATAAGACCAACCTCTGTCTCCGTCTTTGCAATAATGAATAATGACTACTTCTGAGGTGTAAAGTTTCTAGAAGTCATATCTAAACATGATAAAAAATTGTTTGTTATGTTTAGAGAATTTGAAAAAAAGAAATTACAATTTTTCACATCTCATTAATGAGGAATTGGAGCATATCTTATCATGTTGTATACGTACAAGATCCTACTAAAAAATATTAGCTTTTCTAAATAGAGTGCAAGGTAACCACATAGACGAAATTAAATTTACTGTTACTGAAATTAATAAAGAAATATAATTTGAATATAACAAATCATATACTTTGTTGTCGACTATAACCAAATACATACAGTAAAAAATCCTGTCTTTTATTTAAAGTAATTATTAATAACCTCTAATTAACTAGATCATCAGTATAAATCACACTGATATCTACGATCTTGTATTGAATTATAAAACAGAATCACTAAAAGTGCAGCCAAGTTTTCTGACGCCTCAAGATGAAAATAATATAGTAATCACTTTCGAATTTTTTACAAACTTTCATACTTTTACTAAATACATTTCATAAAAGTATATAATATAAAAAATTTAAAAATGTTGTCTGTCTGTATGTGGTTACTAGCGCGACTGTGGATCATGATTTGGGCCTGGGTTTGAATCCCGGGTCGTGCCAAGTACTGTTGTTGGATTAATTTGGGTATAATGAGTGTTCAAGAAACCACCCTGATAGTCTTTTTTTATAGGATAAGGGTGACAAACGAGCACACAGTCCACCTGATGGTAAGTGGTTGCTGCGGCCCATAGACATCTACATCTATCCTCGTTTGCGAATCAAAATGCAGATGCGTTGCCACCCGTGAGGACTAAGATGGAATGCCTCATTTCCAGTAAAAAGGGCCTCCGGCCACCTGCACTCACCAAGCGAAACGCAGAGGTAAACCTCTACTTCACGCTAGTATTCAGTGAGGTCGTGGTACCACCCCGGTTCAAGCCGGACCATCCGTGCGACAGCAAAAGCTGCCGCGTGGCTCTACCACTGTTATATTTAGGTTAGTCGTATTACAGCCCTCAATGAAGCACTTAGCTTTTGGGTTTTCTCGTCGGACGTTTTCTTATAGAAAAGGGGGCAAACGAGCGTGCGGGTCACGTTATGGTAAGTGACTACTGCCGGCCATTAGCAACCGCAACACCAGGGGAATTGCAGGTGCGTTGCCGGCTTTTGGAAAGGAGTAAGCTCTTTTCTTGAAGGTCCCTAAGTTGTATCGGTCCGGAAAAATCGCCGGTGGTAAACAATACCACAGAAAAGTTGTACGAGAAAGAAAACTCATAGTAAAACGCACAGTAGTGGCCCGTCAAGCATCCAGATGGTGAGGATAGTATCGTGAATTTCGACGCGATGTGGGTTCATGAAATATGGCGGAGACATGAAATACTGCCCCGCTCTGCTTAGCACGCCAAGCTTTTTAGAGGCCAATTTGGCCTTCCCTTCCAAGTGACCACAAAACTGCACACTATTCAATATGTCGACGCCGAGGATTCCGATGCTAGCTGAGGCAGCAGAGTGCCTTAAAACTGAGGAAATACGACAAAGGGGTACTTTTTAGCGGTATACGTGCAAACTTGTGTCTTCTGGTGATTGAACTAGATTTAGCCGCCGTCAATCTGAGACTTTGTTCAGCAAAGAATCGACATCAGACACAAGTTTGTACTTGGAGACGTTTTCCCGAGAAATATTGGCACGGCCGCTGTATATTGCATCACCAGTCCTGTCGTTGTTACCAGTTTGCATCATTGATATGCAGTAGAAACAGCGTTGGTGATAGCACGCAGCCTTGTGGAACACCAGCGTTAATAGGCTTGAATTAGAGCATACACCGTCTACTACGACCTTGATGCTCCGATCAGCAAGGAAACTGGTGATCCAATTGCACTACTTCTCGGGAAGCCTATAGGAAGGGAGCTTCGAAAGAAGCGCTTTGTGCCAGACCCGATCGAAGGCCTTCGCTATGACCAAACTAACGGCCAATGCCTACCCCTTGGACTCTACTGCCTCCGCCCATCTATTAGTTAGATAGAGCGGAAGATCACCAGCTGATCAACCCCGACGAAAACTGTTTATAATGGATTCTTTTATTTTGGAGAACAAGGAGTTGATGGCGATAGGCCTGTAGTTTGACGGGTCTGAGCGGTCGCCTTTTTTAGGGATCGGCTGAACCAAAGCTGTCTTCCATGAATTTCGGATAACGCCTTAGGAGTAGAAGTACCGGAATGACGCGTTAAAACAATGCCAACTTCGTAGCACATGTTTTCAGCACAATGGAAGGGACTCCATCAGGCCCACTCAACTTGTTGACGTCCAGGGAGAGGAATGCTTTGTGAACCGAGCGCTGTGTAAGCCGCACATCTGGCATAGAGCACTCAACCGCGGGATGGTCGGCGGTGTCTTCGTCCGTCATCGAGAGTCGAGTTGGACGCAAAAAGAGAGATTAACAGATCGGCTTTCTCCTTTGCGCCATGGACTCAGTGAGTCGCCCTCTCTTTGCAGAGATGGCTGGCAGTTCCCTTGGACAGCCTTAGCAAGAGACAAGAATGCACGGGCTACTGAAGAAACGCGAACTAGCCTCTCACCAACTCCGCCGATCTGGCTGGAATCTGTCTCCGATGGGCACCACAGAAGATGGAATAAAAATTTCCATATCCTGAAGTACCATATCAGCGACAGAATCAGCAACATTGCTGGGATTGTCCAGCGAGAAGTAAACGCATCCTTTCCCAATCGGCCGACCTATAGTGCCAAACGGGGGGGGGGGGGGATTAGGCCTCCGACCACCTACACTTACCAAGCGAAACGTATTCTGTGAGGTCGTGGTATCCTGGTTCGAGCTCGCGTAGCTCTACCGCTGTTAAAACGTAAACATGGAATAAATTCTATTTACTTTTTTTCCGCCCATTATAAATAAACAACCGATACACAAGAATAAATTATTTTCTTCGTTATGAGACAAGTCCAGTCCTAACGAAAAAACCAAACACAATAACTGCCTTTCTTTCTTCAAAACTTCTCTAATACTTTCACGTTTTTCGTAAACGCCAAACTCCCACTACACACCCTGATCGCGACTGAAACAACGTATCGCTTAAAGGCAGATAATTGATGATAAGTATACCCGCATGCGGCGACGCCGCATAAGCACCTCGCAACGTGAATCTACCTGTCATATTCATAACTGCCTTTACGTTTTACGGAATTAACCGGTTAATTTGGGTGTCAAAACCATTAAGTAATCGATAACCTTTATCATTTAGATTTAATAAAAACCGGTTAATTTTTAACTGGTAATTAAAGGAGCGATAAATTTACCGGTAATTAATCGAAATTAACCGCTCTTTTTAAACCGGTTAAGAGACCTGCTCATGACTCGCCCGTCAGGGTATTTTACGTTTGGTGTAAACGGTTATACATTCTGTGTACTAAATATCGGGAATTTGTCAATAAAACAAAAAATACAAATTATTCATCTAAGTTTATTTTATCGCCTTCAAAGTAGGCCCCATCGCTTGCAATACAACATCTCCAACGCTTCACCCAGTCTTCCATACATTTTTCATAGGCTATTTGCGGTATGGCCTTTAGCTCATTCAGCGAATTTTTTTTATGGCTTCTATCGACTCAAAACGTTTTCCTCGAAGTGGTAATTTTAACTTGGGAAATAAAAAAAAGTCAGACGGAGCCATATCAGGTGAATACGGTGCTTGGTCGAGAACTTTTGTTGAAATTTTCGCTAAAAACTCTTTCACTATAATGGCTGTGTGTGATGGTGCATTATCATGGTGCAGCATCCATGAGTTGTGTTGCCACAAATCTGGACGTTTTCGGCGGATACTCTCACGCAAACGCTTCATGACGCCTAAATAATATTCTTTATTCATTGTTTCTCCCTTTGGAAGGAATTCGGAGTGAACCACACTACGGTAGTCAAAAAAAAAACTGTCAGCATCACCTTGATTTTGGAGCGACTTTGCCGCGGTTTTTTGGGTTTCGGCTCGTTTTCGAGACGCCATTCTGAAGACTGTTGGCTTGTTTGCATGTCGTACTCATAAACCCATGTCTCGTCGCCAGTTATTATACGTTTCATAAAGGTCGGATCCGTAGAAGCTCGGGAAACCATGTCTTCAGCGACATGCTTTCGCTGCGCTCTTTGAACAAAATTGAGCTCTTTTGGAACAAAGTCGAGCGGCGACGCGTTTCATGCCTAAAATGTCAATGAGAATGTTGTGGACGGACTTAAAAGATATGTTCACCTCACTAGCCAACTCTCTCAGACTCATACGTCGATTTTCGAGCACTAGCTTCTTGATTTTGTCGATGTTTTCTTTGGTCGTAGCGGTTGAAGGTCTACCAGAACGAGGCAAGTCTACTACTACTTCTCGGCCTTCTTTAAAAGCCTTATACCATTCATAAGCCCTTGTTTTCGATATACACGATTCGCCGTAGGTATTTCGCAACATTTTTAGTGATTCACCACATGAAATATCATTCGAAACACAAAATTTAAGGCACACTCTTTGTTCAACAATATTTTCCATTGTAAAAATCGCCGAGAACTCAAAACTATGACCAACAAAAAGTGTAGTTTAAAACAAGTTAAATGACAGATCCCGCTCAAACTTTGCGCGCTAAATCAGTACAGTGCTACCAACATGCAGTAAAAAATTAGAACGACCTCTTTTACGCGGGTCTTTTTATTGACATATTCCCGATACTTTTTACACAGAGTTGTACTGTCTTCTATGCCAAGTGTTTCTGGCATTTTCCATTGTCGCCTTTTACGACACAATAAGCAGGAAATGGAGAGATAGAACATCTCCACCACACATCTCTATATATAAAAATCAATTGCTGTCCGTCAGTCAAGCTAAAACTCATAAAACGGCTGGAATGATTTTGATTAAAAAAAATTACGGGTAAGTGGCACTGTTGTCGAGATCCAAATATCACCCATGCGAAGCCGCAGCAGATCGCTAATATTATATGAATATAGGCATCAGTGACAAACTAAAGTCTTCCTGATGGTAAATGGCTATTGCAGTCCATGGACAACTTTCAAACAAAGGAGGCTACTCGAACAGATGGTGACATCACGACATGGTGGAATACCTCACGGGCTGTGATTATACTGACCCTCTTTACCCCTCAAACTGGATTACAGCACTGCTGTTTGGCAGCAGAAATAGGTAAGAGGGCGGTATCAAGGACGACGGATACCTTGGCAGAAAATGGGTCCCATCACCTATATATATCATCATCATCATCATTACAGCCCTTCACAAGTCCACTGCTGAACATAGGCCTCCCCCAAGGAATGCCACAAAGCACGGTCCTGAGCCACCTGCATCCATCGACTTCCTGCATATCTTACCAGGTTATCACTCCATCTAGTGGGGGGACGCCCAACACTTCGCCTGCCGGTACGAGGCTGACACTCGAGAACCTTTCTTCCCCATCGGTTGTCGGTTCTTCGAGCTATATGGCCGGCCCATTGCCACTTCAGCTTACTAATCCGTTGGGCTATGTCGGTCACTCTGATTCTACTGCGGATATTCTCATTTCTGAGTTTATCACGCAGAGAAACTCCGAGCATAGCCCTCTCCGTAGCTTGCTGAGCGACCTTGAGCTTCCTCATCCGGCCAGCAGTGAAGGACCACGTCTCAGTTCCGTATGCCATCACTGGCAACACGCACTGGTTGTACAGTCTCGTTTTCAAGTTTTGAGGTATACCTGACGAGAAGATATGCCGTAATTTCCCGAACGCTGCCCAACCGATATATCATACCACTAGTGAATAGCATTGACACAGACATCTGACATTGACACAGACATCTGACAATGACACACATCTGACATTGACACAGACTCTCACATTGACACAGACATCTGACATTGACACAGACATTTGACGTTGACTCTGCATCTTAGTTTATGCCTGATTTGTCGCATAGGACCATCTCTATAATCTTTTTTTTACCTCTATATATCCACTGCTGGTTATAACCTATTCATCTTGCAGGTCACCTTGTGCTTAAATTAAATTAAAAAGGCTAAGAAATTAAAATGCTAAGAATCCAAATTAATATATTCTATGTATCATCTGACTCTATTAATTAATACCAAATATCCTTTTTATAGAATAAAGGTGACAAACGAGTCGACTTGATGTTTAATGTATGCTGTGGTTCATAGACATCTTCATCTACCCTCTATTAAGAATCAAAATGCAGATGCGTCATCACCCCTGAGGACTAAGATGGAATGCCTTGTTTCCAGTAAAAAGGGTCTCTCGTTCTATACTCTCACCATATGCAACACAGCAGCATTAAGCTGCTATTTCATGCTGGTATTTTGTGAGAGAGTAGTCCTTTTCTGGTCAAGTCGACCAGGGAAGGACTACGACTACCATAATATAGCTGCAGCATGGCTCAACCGCCTATAAATATACCTTTCACTTTAAGCTGCTTCTTATCACCAGTATGTGTGATTTGTTTTTTGTCTTTTAATGAATATATAGCCGTTTTTTGGTCGCCAGAGCCTTTTAAAAATGTTGGGAATCATACATCTTTTAATTTTTTTCAGATATCGTAATAAGCACTCCAAACCGTCTTTGCTACTTGCTGAATCAAGATAATGTAAATATATCCTTGGACAAGTAAGTATTGCCTGTGAAAATGCTAAAAGAAAACAGAATTTACTTAATAGTAGGGTGACAAAATGAACTCGCAGTTGACCTAATGTTAAGTAACACTGCAATCCATACTCATACACACAGACCTATTAATAACAACAGTGGTGGTTTAAAAATATCCATGACCCCATAGCGTCACTTGGACGTTGTAAGAGACGACAGAGGGAAACAAATCAGGCAATGGGCAGTAGCGTCTTCATAATGACTAAAAAAATAAAAAATAAAACTGTTGTTGCCAACTCGCCTGCCAAGTTTAGTAACTATTGCAAAATCATAAAAAATAAAGTAATCTATAGGGGAGACCGTCCAATGTTTGTCATCGTAATAGTATATTATAATGTAGTTTATTTACGAACGAGTCGAGTATATAAATAAAAGAATAGGTCCGAGAACACTGCCTTGAGGAACGCCGTATCTCAGAGTTGTTACTATAATTTTCACTTTTAATAATTAGTTAGCAATTGTTTAGGTAACTTTTCATGATATCAAAAGCTACTCCCCTGATACCGAATTACTCCCGTTTTCTAAATGGGATTGAAAATGAATGTCAGACAAATTAAAATGTAAAAAATACCAGCAGTCATTATGTTTTTTCTTAATTCTTCCTAGTTGTGCCCATTCAATTCAATTCAATTCATTTATTTGTTAAACATAGGTGGTAGTATACAGATAAAGATAGAGTCACAAAACTGTACCTGGCTGCTGTTTTCCTTTTATGGGTGATTAGGATAATTTTTATCTGGTAACAAAACATATCATCTTAGTCCTCAAAGATGACAACGCATCTCCATTTTAATTCCTTATTGGAGGATAAATGTAGATGTCTATGGGCCACAGCATCCACTTACATCAGGTGGACTGTGTTTTTCTTTTTATAGAATAAGGGTGACAAATGAGCACACAGTCCACCTGATGGTAAGTGGTTGCTGTGGCCCATAGACATCTACATCTATCTTCGTTTGCGAATTAAAATGCAGATGCGTTGTCAGCCGTGAGGAATAAGATAGAATGCCTCTATTCCAGTAAAAGAGGTCTCCGGTTCTCTACACTCACCATACGAAACACAGCAGCATTAAGCTGCTATTTTACACTGGTATTCTTTGAGAGCGTGGTCCTTCCCCGGTCGAGCAGACCCATTCGTGCTACAACTATACTATTAATATATGGCTCTACCACCTATAAATTATTAATTATTATAATTTCTCTACTTTTAGGAAAATCCATAGTGGTTATAGTAAAATAATAATGTAAAATATAACTAATATTACAGAAAGAAACATTAACCCTTATATTTTCCAACAAATTAACTTCCACGCAGTGAAATCTATTAAATATTTCACCTCATAAAATAGTCGAGATCAGTGAACAAGTTAAGGTTTAATTTCGGCCACTGAGCGATCGCTAGTATTTATCAATTTTTCATAATATACTGTAATTCTTCAAGGGTCCGATGGCTTATCATTGATGAAGCTGACAAACTGTTCGAGGGTTCCGCTGATCAGACGTCGGACTTCCGTCAGCAGTTGGAACAAGTGCTGACAGCATGTGGAAGCAAACAGCGGAGAGTTGCCATGTTCAGTGCCACCCACACACCCGCAGTCGCCAAATGGTGCAGGCATAACTTAAGAGGACTTATTGCTATCACTGTTGGGCAACGGTGAGTATCCTATACTTTTGCACGCTTCACAACGTGAGGGAGTGCTCTACTCTCGATATGTGGTCATACCTTAATTTCGCTACATAAAATCGTTCTTATACTTTTAGCTAGACATCAAATCCATATTATTTTTAGCGTTACAATAACTACAGATATTGAATTATAAAATTAGTTTATTTTTAATTGATTCACTTTAGATTACATTCCGTTGGTCTGTGCGTCGGGAGTCTTCTCGCTTAATAGAAATGTAAGCAATAGATTGAAATATATAGTTTTAATAAGATTCCATATATTCTAAAGAGGCTCCTTATTGATTTTTGTTATTGAACTCAACACAGTTTAAAAGTTATTAAGTCTATCAGATTATCAGTTTTTTTTATTGTTAAAAATATTTTTACTATTTCTACTTTTTTCATCAAAATTAAATGAAACGCTCATTAGGCGTGCACTTTTTGGTTTTATATCACTGAAATAGATTCCGAGCTGAGTCTGCTTGATGGTACGTGGCTACTGTAGTCCATGGACATCATAGACAAGTGAAAACTTCTTTAGAATCAAAAAGACAAACAATACATCTATAGGATTTAGCCTGCGAGAGAATGAGATAGAATAGTGTTTCTCGGTTTTCTCTTTGTGCGGTGCCTTGACTACCTATGTATAAAAGATGGCGCTATTACAAAGCAATTTTACTCGCAGCTAGTTAGAGGCAATCTGCAGTTGTATGCTAGCTGCAGCACGAATGTGTTGGCTGTGCCCTACAGTAGGATGTATTATAGAATAAGGGTGACAAACGAGCACACAGTCTAGTGGATGTTAAATGGATGCTGTGGCCCCTATACCACATTTTCCTCGATTAAGAATCAAAATGCAGGTGTATTGTCATTTCTGAGGACTAAGATAGAATGGTTTTTCTTTTTTTTAACGCTTCCTTTCCAGTAAAAAGGGTTTCCTGTTCTCTACACTACCACATGAAACACAGCAGCATTGAGCTGGTATTCTGTGCTTGTATGCTGCTCTTCCCCGGTCGGGGAATTCTTGCTACAACTGTAATATTGCTGCAGCGTGACTCTACGACGTACAGAAATATACCTATTTAGTAAATATGAGTTAGTCTCACTAGGACAGTCCCGTTTATTATTTTACTTATGTTTATACTTTAGGTTAAGTTATAACTGTTGGGAGATCAATAATCTACTTGTGAGTCTCTTGCCGCATCTTCTCACAAGGTGTCCCCGTTGTAGGGTTTTATTGAAGCGATAGCGAGCATTTCACTTTCAGAAAGCACTTTGTAATGCCCAATTTTAAATGAAAATATTTAACTTTAAACTCTGAACCCGCGGCGCTCGCCTAAGCTACATGATTTCGACATGGCTTGTAGCATGATTCTGACGATGCCCTAACGTGACCACAGATGACACTGCTTGCACCAACCTGTGCAACCATAGCATGTCGCAGAATTTAGTTTGAGCCAAATTATTATCTGAAGAGGATAAACATGCCCTTGTTTTGCTACAGATTTCAAACATTAAAATTGCCAGCAGAAGATTTTAGAAAGACATTGAAGAAAAAAAAATTGAAAAGTGGCGGTACTTTCAATTTTATGAAGGAATTAGAATTATATTTTGCATAGATTTGCACTACAAGTTGCAACAAGCATCTTGCGGGTTCCCGTTACGGTAATCGTGTCTAGTATAATTATATATGACGCGTGATTTGACGCGTAATTTGTCAATCGCCTCAACATTCAAAGCGATTGTATTTATGTCCTATCCTATTGCACAGGTTGGTGCAAGCGGTGTCATCCGTGGTCACGTCAGAGCATCCTCAGAATCATGCTACAAGCCATGTCGAAATCATGTCGCTTAGGTGGGCGCCGCGGCTTACTTAGGTGGGCGCCGCGATTAATGTTATTTTTACCTATAACCTGTGTAGGAACGCTGCAACACATTTAGTGGAACAAGAGCTCCTGTACTGCGGCAATGAGAATGGTAAGCTGGTGGCCTTCAGGCAGCTAGTGCAAAAGGGACTGAAGCCTCCGGTTCTAGGTAAGCACTTTATTTTTTACAGTAAATTAAAATTGATGAGCAAAGTAAATTAAATATGAATGATATGCTTTGCAAAAATGCAATAGAAATCTACATCTATCCTCCATTAAAATTCAAAATACGTTGTGATCCGAGGACTAAGGTGGGATGTATCGTATCGTTACCAGTAAAAAAGGTATCTACACTCACCATACACAGCAGCAGTAAGATGCTATTTCACGCTGGTATTATGTGAGAGCATGGCCCTTCCCCGATCGATTCGACGCATTCTTGCTACAACTATAATATAGCTGTTTGACGGTTCCGTGGCGGAGTGGCTTAGTAATGAGTTGTAGCGTTAAGGATCGCGAATTCCAATCCCGCACGGAACAAGTATTTGTATAGTCTACAAATAATTGTTCCGGATCTGGAACAACATTAATTTCTCCTTGTGAAATTTGTGTATGTAAACTGTAACCAACAATATATCAGAAAATCATGTAATGGAGGTGTTTTTTTAAAATAATTCGAAATAGTTGCAGCATGGCATTTTTTATGTGGTAGAGCCATGTTGCAGCTATATTAATAGTATAGTTGTAGCACGAATGGGTCGGCTCGACCCTAGGAAGGACCACGCTCTCACAGAGTACCAGCGTAAAATAGCAGCTTAATGCTGCTGTGTTTCGTATGTTTACTGGAAAAAAGGCATTCTATCTTAGTCCTCACGGCTGACAACACATCTGCATTTTAATTCGCAAACCACTTACCATCAGGTGGACAGTGTGCTCATTTGTCACACTTATTCTATTAAAAAAAATGGCTCTAGCACGTGTGAATTTTCCATGTGCAGTGTTCGTGCAGAGCAAAGACCGCGCCAAGCAGCTGTTCAAGGAGCTGATATATGATGGGATCAACGTTGACGTCATACACGCGGACAGAACTCAGACGCAGGTAGGACACTCATTTTAATTATTCTAATGCCCAAACACTCTAACGTTACTCAATTTTAAGATGTCGTTAAGTCTCGTGCTGTCTCTATCACTTTAAGTCAAAGTGACTGTGACACCACGAGGCTTAACGACTTCTTAAAACTGAGTAGCGTTTTGAGTATTTGGCCATATTTGGCCATTTGGCTCGTACACATACAGTAGTAGTAAAGTTTGTTGCACGCATTATGAACGACGAAGCAAACCGTTTGGTTCGAATGCGTTGTATGTTACAACGAAGAGGTGGGGACCAGTCGAGCGTCTGGTGGCTCGATGATGGAATGGAGAGATAGGAAATATCCTATAAAACAGCCACAAAACTGTTCGTTCATTTTTTACATTACAACAGTAACGGGCGATAGTTACATAGGAGAAATCCAAACACTTCTATGTAAACTAGTGACTAGCTCAATACTTGATACATCACGCACTAAGTTATGGTCAGCCCTCCGGAACTCCTCGGACTAACGACTGCGAGCAGCCGAGATGACTAATTCTTTGTTTTGTAAACCGCGAACGTTGTTTTGGACAATTTAACACTGAATTTAGAATAGAATAGAATAGAATAATTTTTATTCAATATAGATTATTACATAATACTTATTGAAAGTAATTTTTTTTATTTACCACTGGTATCGGAAAATACCTCTATCCTGGGAAGAACCAGCACGAAACCCAGCGGGACTTTTTTTAACATAGTTCACTTTACAATAATTTCATTTTTTTGTATGTACAAATTTTAAATGAATTAATAGAACCAGCATACTGGCGATCACCTCATTCCCAGGGGCTATTTTCACTTATGTATTCTTTGATATTATAATAACCCTTTTTGTAAAAATTTTCTTTAATAAAACATTTAAACTTCTTTATTGACAAATTTTGTGCATTTTCTAGGAATTTGTTGTAAAAGCGTATACATTGCCTCATACATGAATTACCAATTGTAATTGTATTTTGTATAATGTGACTAAGAAAACGATGTCATTATTTATCAGCGCACTTTATCAATGTGATTTAAAGTTTACTTTACGTAAGTCTGTAATTTTATTTCGTATTTGGTGGTTCGTATGGTGCTCCAGTAGTACATACCATCAGGTGAGCTGCATGCTCGTTAGCCCCCTCTTCCATAAAATAAAAAACTACTAATCAGTCCATATTGTTGCAGCGTGACAACGTAGTGCGCAGCTTCCGCGTGGGTCGCATCTGGGTGCTGATCTGCACGGAGCTGATGGGCCGCGGGATGGACTTCCGCGGGGTCAACCTCGTCATCAACTACGACTTCCCACCTTCCGCCATCTCATATATACACAGGTAATGTCATCATTTATTTATATGCATTTCATGCCAGTGTTTGCTTTCCCTTTATACAACTCTATTCACCACTAAATTTTAATTAACAGTAAAATTTATGTAAAATCAGAAATTTAATTTGATTTAATGTGACGAAATTATTTGCCGTTATTTTATTGGAATAAACTTATTTTAAATCTATTTAGAAAAAACGCTTATAGGTGTCGTAAGAGCCATCCAGAGCCATCATTCGGTTCCATTATCTATGCCGCTGATCCCTAAGATAGAGACTTGTCTAGTTTGGGGATCAGAGTCTTCACTTTATTATTGTACTTTTATTTAAATAAAAGATTATTATTATTATGTTCTATGCAGGTTTTCTTATGAACTTTATCTTCACCGCAGAACTTTATATCACCAAGATACACAAGGAGACTACAGTAGTAAGTGTAAAAGGAAAACTAAATCCTTTCCTCTGTATTACAGGATTGGTAGGGCGGGACGTGCGGGACAATCGGGACGCGCCATCACTTTCTTCACTCAAGATGACGTCGTCAATTTAAGGAGGTAACTGTTCCTTCTACATATTGGCAGGGCCTCGGCAACGCTTAAGCACATTTTCGCGAACCCACCTCGCCTGCTTTAATTCTCTTATTACATTTACTCACATCCTGTAATTGCATTGCCTCAAAGACTGTAATTATGTAGACTCACAGCCTATAATTACATTTTCTCACAGCCTATTTTACTAGACCTATTTTACTGGAAAAAAGGCATTCTATCTTAGTCATTTACGGCTGACAACGCACCTGTATTTTAATTCGCAAACGAATAAAGATGTAGATGTCTATGGGCCACAGCAATCACTCACCATCAGGTGGACTGTGTGCTCGCTTGTCACCCCAATTATATTAAAAAAAGCCTGTAAGAATCACAGCCTGTAATTACGATAAATCAAAGCCTGTTTCATAGCCATTAATTAAATTGTATCACAGCGTATAATTACATTGTCTCATAGCCAGTAATTACATTAAATCACAGCCTGTAATTACATTGAATCACAGCCTGTAATTACACTAAATCACAGACTGTAATCACATTGTCTCATAGCCAGTAATCAAATTGCCTCAAAGCCTGTAATTAAATTGTCTCACATCCTTTATTTTATAAAGTCAGCTAAAATGGTAACTTTTGTTGATTTCAGCATCGCGTCCGTGATGAAGCAATCAGGCTGCGACGTACCGGAGTACATGCTGAAGTTGAAGCAGAACCCTAACAAGAGGAAGAAGCTAATGAAGAAGGCACCGCATCGAGACAAGATATCCACTATATTGGAGAAACGCCCCGACAAGTAAGTAATTCATCATGAGCTACCGTTACAGCCTGTTAAACTCCACTGCTGAACATAGGCTTTCCCCATAGATTGGCAACCGCAGTTTTTTTTTTATATAGTCGTTATTAGGAAAACACTGCTGCCCATCTCTAATTTTGTTTCGCCTCAGTCGCCTTTTACGACACCAAAGGGATGGGGATGAGGTAGTGGATATTCTTATTTCTTACACCGCTGTTACACGGTAATAATACATGAGTAATTATTTTAATTACCGTGAAGTGGCGGTGTAAGAATATCAACTGCTCTACAACTCGTGGGTATCGTAAGAGGAGCGCTTTTGCTGTTTCACGGTTGAGTCGGCTCGAACCGGAGAAGTGCCACGGCCTCACAGAACACCAGCGTGAATTAGCTTTAATTCTGCGTATCGCCTGCGTACAGGTTGCCGTGCCATCAGGTGAGTCGCATGCTCGTTTGCCTCTCCTCTTGTATAAACATTTCTTATAACGTTATTTTGTTTTATTAATGTAAGTGAATTGATGCAGATTGAATTACTTTTACTGACCAAATAGATTTTCAAATATTCAAATATTTATATTTCAGTATTCGAAACATTTTCCTTCGATTTCTATTTCTTTCACTGTTTATATTTAACTACCCATTCCGTTATATATTAGACATTCAATTATGTATTATATTAGGAATTATATAAATTAAAACCAATTAAAAACACACACACGCGCACGCACATGCACACGCACTTGCACACACGCAAACACAAATATTAAATGTAACATAACTAGAATAAGAAATACTTTAGAATTCATACATTTTTTCTTTAGGAGGAAATTGGAAAGTGAAAAGGATTTAAATAAAGAAAACAGGGCGAAAGACACGCAAACTGTCAACGACGCAAGAAATAAGAAACAAAGAAAGGTGTCCAGCCAAGAGCAGAAGATCGTAAAGCAGAAAAAAGGCACAGACAAGAAAGAGAATAAAAAAGGAAAGAAGATTAATAAGAAGAGAAAGAAAAAAGCGTTTGTAAAGCCGGCGGCGTCTAGTTGATTAATTTATTGTAAAACTTTTGTAATATTAAGTCGTTTTATTCTAAATATCATTTAGCCCGCTATAGGTCCACAGCAGAATATAGGGCTCAGTTCTAATCCACCTATGTCTACTCCCTGCATGTTTTATCCACATTGTGCCATATAGTGGGGGGCCGGCGTATACTTGAGAACCTTGTTATTTTATTATAAGTGTGCAGACAACCTAATATCTAAGTTGATTCTATTATAGATGCGGAGTAAGTCAAAGTCAATTATCAACTACATAGACTCACAGCCTGTAATTACACTGCCTCACAACCTGTAATTATATACTGAAGTATATAGTCAAAATAAATACATGTGTTTTCATTTAGTTATATTTTATATTAATTAGATTAGAAATGATTATAATCACTAGGAATATTCCTAAAAATAGAGATATTTATAATAATTAATAATTTATACGTGGTAGAGCCATGCTGCAGCTATATTACTGGTATAGTAGTAGCACGAATGTGTCGGCTCGACCGGGGAAGGACCACGCTCTCACAGAATACCAGCGTCAATTAACAGCTTAACACTGCTGTGTTTCGTATGGTGAGTGTAGAGAACCGGAGACCCATTTTACTGGAAAAGAGGCATTCCATCTTAGTCCTCACAGGTGACAACGCATCTACATTTTGATTCGCAAACCAGGATAGATGTAGATGTCTATGGGCCACAGCAACCACTTACCATCAGGTGGACTGTGTGCTCGTTTGTCACCCTATCCTATAAAAAAATTTACAGAACACAGCAGTTGATACATTGCTGCTTGGTGGCAGAAAAAGGTAGTAGTGTGGTACAAACCCAGACAACTACTGGGTAGAAAAGGTAAAAATTAAGGTGTGTTGGAAATAGAATTACGGGACTTTGGACTAGGAAATTAAAAACAAATAATTTATACGTTCTTTACTTATTCAAAATCAAATATTATGAAACATACAAAATATACAGTCTTCATTGCAATTATATACAAAAAATGTTTCCACTTTTAAACAAGCCCACAACTAACAGACAAAATAAAATTCTTTTCAGCCAAAATGAACTATGGCACAGCTTGGCATTGCAACTTGTAAACAATTATTTTGCAAACGAGGCAGTAGCCTTGACATACATAATTTATTTAAATTTAAGCCTCTTTATGTTTTTATCTTAAATACTACAACAGTTCTTTTCTACTTATGTGAAATTAACTAAAACATTATGAATTCTTATGGATTCTGAAATAGCACGTTATTTCAAAATTAAACCTATTTAAATATATACAATATTGGTTAAATTATTATTAAATATTTTGATTCATAAAAAAATTATCATACAATTATGAAAATATAATTTAAACATTATATATCGCGTCCAATGAAGAGATTCCTAAAATAATTTTACACAAAATATATATACTTGAATACATTATTTTGTTTTATTATGATTGTAGTGACACACGAACTTACAGATGACCATGGACACATGCAGCCAATTTCAAACAAAGAAGGCTGATGTGTTGTGACCCCGGAGGACTAAGACGGAATGCCTTATGTAATTATACCTGTCCTCCATACCCACTGCCAAAAGGCAGAAATACATAGGTCAGCAGTTGGTACAAAGCTGCCTTTACAAACCTTAGTCCTCCAGATAAGAAGTCCTACCAACAATAAATTGATAACAAACAACAAGTAAATTAATATTTAATAATTTTTTTAGTAATAATCATATCAAAAATAACAAACATTTGATTTAAAACAATAAGTTGTCTAACAAAGATCTATCATAAGTAAATTCCCTGAATCAAACTCCTGGCCAGTTATTTGGCATACAAATTAATATAAACTTAATCCAAATATGAATTATTTTAAACATTATGACTAAGCTAACAAGTATAGAAAAAATCCTAAGTATTACTTCTATGGCGACGTGATTGGCATAAAATGTTTATTAAAACAAACTAAACGTGACATTTACTCATCAATCATTAAGAAATAGGATCTATTTCTGTAATTATAAGGGTACTCTGGTTCTGTCAAATTTCTTTATTTTTTTATTTATTTAGGAAAAAAAATTCCACAAAAATGACAGCATTATTCTTGTCCTACAATATTCTACTCCCCGTTTTTTTCTCCTCGCCCAAGTACTCCAAACAATGTTTCCGTATACAGGCTTATTTTTCAACAAGTAGCCAAATTATAAAGTTAAGTTCAAATATATACTATTGTATTTGAAAATACTAGTAAACAAGGCTTCTATTTTTATTTGAAAATATCCCAAATCGAATGTGGTTTATGGGAAACAACTAAGCGCACGCGCTGCTCTGTGTGCGATTCAATTCACAACGTCATTGCCGACCGATCGACCCGTACGTGTGCGTGCGTAGTAACATTGTAGGCGTTAGATATTTATGAATGAAAATCAGTTAAAATAATGTATTACCACGCATTTTCAAAAATACAGATAAAAATACAGAATATTTGAGAGTAATTTTTTTTTCACAATTTGCCTATATTACTTATTCTGAAACTTCTCTCTAAATTTGGCCGGTTATTGCAAAATAACCCTGTATACTACAAGAAATCCTTTCCATATAATTACAAACACATTCTATAAGATATACATAAACAAACAGTTAATATGTTATCTTTATTTATTTATTATAATTTAATACACAGACCATGTATTAGGTGATGAGAAAAAGGTGAATGTGTTCCCGCGCATGGAGAACAGTAGGCAGATATATTTTGTATTAAAAACAAGATAATTATAGAACATCTCTGTGTATAATTTTATTATTTATTGTATATAATAATCTCTCCCTCCCATTTATAATTTCCTTTAATTTACATTTATAATAATTATAAAAAAATAATGTCTCAAATATAATTGGACGTCAAAAGCACCAAAGTTCACATTCCTAATCTACTAGCACGATAGAGGTTTTTTTTAATGTTAGCATAAATGAATGTCGCAATAAACGTAGATTGCACGTACCCGAGCGAAGAGGTCAGGAGCATATTGTTCTCTCTGTCACTCGCAGAGCCAGTCACAAGGTAGCCGCGGCATTTTATTTGCGGGCCAGGGTAAGTAACCTGCACTCTTGAACACCCAGTAGTCGTACGAAACCTTGGCCACCAGAAGGACTAGCACCAGAACCTCCAGCCCGATCACGTAGTAGATGTAGTCCGTCCAGTCCCTCGGGGAGTGGCACACGTCGGCTTCCAGGAGCTCTGCCACCGCCCCCCCACCTTCGCACTCCAGACTCTTGTAGTCCGGGATGTTCTTGAAGTTCTCCAGCAACCACGGCTGGAATAATAGAAGTATAGGTTCAGCTGATACTAGCGACATCGCTGTCACCACATTAGAACAATGGATCTGATGGTAAGTATGCTTGGTGGCATAAAAATAATTTTACGGATTGTAACGCGTTTAATTTTAAAATTATTTAATCAAAATTACTTTTATTCCATGTGTTTGTAGTCCACCGCTGAGTATAGGCCTCCCCATAGATTGCCTCATAGGGGGGATATTTGCCATAGTTGCCACGCTTGGCAAGCGGGTTGAAAACCAGTTTTTTTTATTTTTAGTCGTTATTAGGAAGACGCTACTGGCCATCTCCTGATTAGTTTCCGTCTGATCTGTCACCTCTTACGATACCCACGGGATGATATGAGATAGTATGACAGTATTCATTACTGAAATCATTATGAAATCTCTTCTTTCTTCTTCTTCATCTCCTCTTTCACTTATTTCTGCCACCAAACATCAGTGCGTGCACTATGCATGGACTGTAGTAGTTCACTTTTTTAACCGACTTCAAAAAGGAGACTACTCAATTCGACTGTATGTTTTTTTATGTGTGTTACCGCATAACTTATTTCTATTTTCTATTTTATTTAAAAGCTGGTGCTTCTCATGTGCTCCCATATAAAAAAAATCAAGGTGTGACCAGTAGTTTTTGAGTTATCCTTAACAATTTATATTGAAGTCGGTTGTACAAAATTTTTAATTTTACCACTCGTTGGAAAATTGAAGTGACCAACGTACGTACAGGCCACGTGATTGTAAGTAGCTACTGCAGCCCATTGACATCAGTCAGCTTCAAACAAAGTAAGATGCAGGTGCGTTATCACCTCTGAGGACTGAGATGGAATGCCTCAGAGCCTGCAATTATACAAGCGCTTTATACCCTTCAGACTGTCTATTATCTTCTTAGTTTAGAATCAAAATGCAGATGCGTTGACAGCCCTGAGGACTGAGATGGAATGCCTCGTTACCAGTAAAAAGGGTCTCCGGTTCTCTACACTCGCCATACGAAACACAGCAGCATTGAGCTGCTATTTTACGCTGGTATTCTGTGAGAGCGTGGTCCCACCCCGGTCGGGCCGACCCGTTCGTGCTGCAACCACAATATAGCTGCAGCGTGACTCTACCACGTAAACGTCTCTTTTTAATTATTGTCATCATCGTTACACTCCCTTAACAAGTCAACTGCTGAATATAGTTAATAGAATCAGGCGTTACTTTACGTCATTTTCTTTCTTTACGCGGAATTAAGCAAATAAGTTTATAACAACCCCATTATGCTAAATATAGGCCTCCTGGTAGGAATACCGTTGCTCGTGCCATAGCTGCCACGCTTGGCAAACGGGTTGGCAACTGCAGTATTTACTGTTATTTTTCTGTTCTTAAAAAGATGGTACTGTCCATCTTTTGCCTTTGTTTCTCTCTGTACTATCACGTAAACGTCTTTTCTTGTTCTTCTCTTTCTGTTTTTCACACACACCCTCTCCTTATCCATCTCTCTTTTGGCTCTTCTCTTTCTCCCTTTATTTATGTCCAGCATTCCTGTAAAATTCTAGAATTACGGATATGCGAATATTTACCTTGAGCACCTTCTCCGTATTGCAGTCACAGTGTATGTAGTTGCCGCCGATCGAGAACGTGGTGTAAATGCCCGTCATATCGAACTTGTTCGACAGCACGTATGTATGTATCTACATATTGAAAGACACCTCAATATTAAAATATTTTCAATATTAATAGAATTAGGTTAGGCACATAAGTAAACTGACAAATGAGGAGGTGGGACAGACTACCAGACATGGAGGTAATTGGCTACAGCTCATGGACACCTAAAGCCTACATCCAAGGAATGAAAGCCACAGATGTAATAATAATGTCCTACAGAACGAATTTCGGTCACGGCGGCCAGACTCAACGAAGACTAGCCAGCGGCGCACGATAGGACTATAGTGCTCAAGTGTATGCGCAAGCACAGGTGTACTCTCTACCCTCACTCTCATAATCCGATGGGACGGTTACCCGACACGACCGGAGAGAGATCAGGCGCAGGAGCAACGGCTTTACGTGCTTTCCGAGGCACGGGGGTGAAATGCCAAATTACTTCGGGCTGTTACTGAGAATTTCTTGATAGAAAAACCCAATAACTGATTTTGGCCTGACCCGGGATTCGAACCCGCGATCTTGATCAGTAGTCGCGTTAACGACCACTTGACCAACGAGGACTAAGATGTCACCACTGACGACTGATATGGAATGCCTGAAAAACAGGCATGAGATTCGTACCTACCGGTAAAGAGTCTACAATCTAGTTACAGCCATATATTGACATAGCCATAGATTGCTTTATAGGGGGGATATTTGGCATTGATGCCACATCTAGCAGGCGGGTACGCAATGACAGTTTTTTTTTAATTTTTAGTCGTTACCATCGATATATATGTACTACATACTAGATTGCGCATTCCGAACATACACAATGTTCAACTGAACTGTACTGCAATCCGTACAGTGTGTCATTTAGTGTGGTTTCAAACTACTAGTTAGTCTGTGGTTTCAATATTCATGCAGTGTGGAGCGGTACTAATAATACAAGATTTCAAATTAAAGTTTAAACCTGGACGTAAATAACAATTCAGTAGTCAAGTAAGTAAAATTATTTGTTGTTCAAGTGAATAAATAGGTAATAATATCGTAATATTACAAAAGAAAAAACCATGAAAATATATATTTCTTTATATAAACTAACCACGCAGGAGCATCGCACTTAAATCAACTGCGCATGCGTGACTTTACTATCTCCCGCATATGCGCGAAGACATAGAGTAGTGCACATTTTTTTTAGAAAGGCATCTCTAGTACGTAGTACATATAACTCAATGGTCGTTACTACAGTCTTTGCGTTGTAGCATGATGCAAATGACAGCTCAAGCCTATGAAGTATCGTATTTTTTTACATAAACTGTCATACAGATATTGTTGTACTTCATGGATGGGTACCGCCCACTTACGATAGTGATGTGCCACGTTAAACTATGCCATGTCATAACGAACAATCACAGACTATCAAAAAAGGAATCATGATTACAGTCCATCACAAGTCCACTGCTCATATTGACCTCCCATAAGGAATTCCAAGGCATGGTTCTAAGCCACTGGATGCTAATGGATTTCCTAAATTTTTTACTAAAGGTGAATGACATAAAAGACAGAGGAGCGAAGAGAGATTACATAATATTCACTTACGGTTTTAAGTTTGTTGTGGCTGATGGAGAAGTACATGAAGTTATCGATGAACTTGGTGCCCTCCAGCTCCACAATATTGACTATATCATTGTAGTCCACGATCAGTTGCCTCAAATGTTCGTACGACGGATCGTCGCTCACCGGTTGCAGTGATGTTATCTGAGGAAGAATATTCCTCATCAGCTTTTTTATAGGAAAAAGATGACGAAGTAACAAACGTGGTGATAGTAGGTGAATGCTGTGACCTGTAGTCATCCTTAAGAATAAGTTTTAAAAATTATGCTTGTGACTGTTGTCACTTGGTGAAACTCCAGCTTCATTTTTGTGATTTGATTGATAAACAATTTTATTCATATACCTACCGACTATAAAAACCAACCAGTTTCGTCTCACGACATCATCAGGTTATTTAAGAATGGAAGAAATTCTCATACAATATGATTATTAAAATAATATAAACTTTATCTGTTTCTAGAGTATTATACAGGCTTATTTTTCGAAGGGTAGCCAAATTTTAAACCAAAGTAAGACCCTTTTTACTGGAAAAGAGGCATTCCATTTTAGTCCTCACGGGTGACAACGCATCTGCATTTTGATGCGGAAACGAGGATAAATGTAGATGTCTATGGGCCATAGCAACCACGTACCATCAGGTGGACTCAGGTGTGTTCGTTTGTCACCCTATCCTAGAAAAAAAAAGTTCAAATAAATAAATAATGCTGTACCGTTATTGCAGGTTTTGAAAATACTTCTACTTTTATTTGAAACTAGCTGTTCCTAGGGGTTTAATTATATTGCTCAGAACCCTAATTCTTTTTCTCAAATATAAGTGGCCTACGTTACTCCTTAGAAGATCAGCTATCTGCTGATAATTAAGGTCTGGACTATATAGTCCCGTCGAAATTGGTCCAGTCGTTTCGAAGATTAGCCGACAGACAGACAGACACAAATTTTAAAAATTGTGGTTTTGTTATAAGTACCGTATTTACTTCATATGCATTTATTTGTGTGGGCAAGTCTATCGATTCATTATAAACATTCAAGATAAATATCGACATTAATTTTGATATAGTTGAGTCAATCCCTAGCGTACACATAAAATTGCGTGCCGAATTGCGCCGACCTGTCATTCAAAATCGGTTCAGAGTCATAAGATTTGGTATCCTTTTCTATCTTGCATTTTTGCCATAAGGAATTTTCTTCTCCCTTGCACACTATGACGGTCTATACGCCAGTATATTCTAAGACTATGTCCAAAACGGACCCTGACACTTGAAGCGTAAAAACATAAATCGTTCGGGCACATGAGGAGTTATACTGACATTCAGTTGTAAGACATATTGTCACAATCTCTATATTCTGTTCACGTTGTCGATGGTGGTATGTAGTGCCTTGTATTGGGGGTTAAGTGGTGATAGTGATGCGCTTGTTATGATGGTGACTATGATATTACTTTTACACGGTAGAGTCGTACTGCAGCTATGTTATGGTTGTAGCACGAATGGGTCGGCTCGACCGGGGAAGGACCACGCTCTCACAGAATACCAGCGTAAAATAGCAGCTCAATGCTGCTGTGTTTCGTATGGTGAGTGTAGAGAACCTCAGAGCCTTTTTACTGGAAGCGAGGCTTTCCATCTTAGTCCTCAGGGGTGACAACGTATCTGCATTTAAATTCTTATTCGAGGGTAGATGTAAGTGTCTAAACACAGCATCCACTTGCCATCAGGTGGACTGTGTGCTCGTACGTCACCATTATTCTATATAAAAAAATAGTACTCACGTTGTTGTATGACACATTGAGTTTAACGGTGTTGGGGGGCAGGTCAGTGGGCATCTCCTTGAGATGTCGCTGGGAGCAGTCCACAGCCACCAAGTTGGTGACCTCGTCGCCCAGCAGTTCCAGACGTTCGGGAACGCAAGTGCAGTTGATGTTCGCTGGTTTTATGTTCCGACAGCTGGCGTTCAGCTGGAAAAGATTAGAATAATTTAGTATATATAAGTAAAGATATTGCACGCCATTGTCTTGGTAGAATGTAAGGTTTAATTATTACAAATATGATCTTTGTACCGTGTATTGGCGGTGTAAGAATATCCACTACCCCATAGCATCCCGTGGGTGTCGTAAGAGGCGACAGGGGGAAAGAAATAAAGAAATCAGGAGATGGGCAGCAGCGTCTTCCTAATAACGACTAAAATTAAAAAAAACTGCGGTAGCCAACCTGCTTGCAAAGCGTGGCAACTATGGCAAATATCCCCCCTATGAGACAATCTATGGGGGAGGCCTATGTTCAGCAGTGGGCTTCAATAGGCTGAAACGGTAACTGTAACGGCAATGATCTGTCTGTATTGAAGTAACTGTCTTCTAGTCTGCTCAGGTTGTTATTTGTACGATATTAAGACATAAATAACCATTTTTAAAGTTTTTGTTTGTTTGTCTGTGCGGACTAATCTACTAAATAAATAGAAAATCCGATTGTGATCAAATTTTACAAACAGATAGAGAGCAACGCCGGGCAGAATCTATACTACATTTTATACGAAAGACTTGAATATATTTGTTGAAAAACCGAAAAATTTATAAATTAAATGGTCGTTGATTATCTTAAAACTCAATAACGTCACATTAGTAGATCTTATCCAGGCAAAGCCGGGGCGGGTCACTAGTGTACAATAAACGATAATAGGTATAGATGTTAGGACTCTATTCGTGGTCAAGTACCCTTCTAAAAATACCTGAAACATTTATTTTTACAAAATTGAAGTTACGAACAAACTTATAGCCCACCATCAGGTAAATGGCTACCCCAGCCCCAGGCCACGGACACCTGCATCCAGCTTCATACAAAGGCTACAGATGCGGTGTCAACTCTGAGGATGCGAATGTCTCACAGTTGTAATTACACGCTCTCAAAACCCATTAGACTGTAACACCGCAGTGCACGCACTGCTATTTGGCGGTAGAAATAGAAAAAAGTTTGGTACACCCATGGGATGATATGGGATAGTGGATATTCTTAATTTACCACTAAACGACACTGCACTTTTATTTATAGGTATAGAAATAGATTAACTTTGCCATGTGGTGTTTGACAAAAAAGTCATTATAAATAAAGAATGAATGAATAGATAAAAATATCCCACCTCCTTCTGTACCCGCAGGTGGTCGATCTGCACGATCTGCACGTCCTTGAACCAGTTGAAGCGCAGGTCGAGAGCGCAGAAAGTGCGCTCGTAGTTCACGAACGTCACCAGCGAACTGTTGTTCGTCTCCATCGCCTTCTGGAAGTGCTTGCACGGCAGGTAGTTGTTACCTAACGGAGGAACGACATGGAATAATGGTATGATATTTTTATGTAGAATATGAGTGACAAACACGCAAACAGTCTACCTGGTGATAAGTGGATGCCGTGGCCCATAGACATCTTCTCTTATCCTCAATTAAAAAACCAAAATGCAGATGCGTTGTCACCCCTGAGGACTACGATGGAATGCCTCCTATCCAGTAAAAAGGATCTCCGGGTCTCTACATTTTCTATCATCTCTCATACATCTACTATCATCTCATACATACGAAACACAGCATCATTAAGCTGCTATTTTACGCCGGTATACTGTGAGAACGTGGTCCTACCCCGGTCGAGCCGTTTCAAATCTATGTAAACTTATCCATTTGAAACGGGGTTTTACAATATTTTAGAGAAAAAATTTGTTCAACGTTTTAAAATTAAATGCTGGTTTTGGTCAATACTCAAAATAATAGCATGGTAAATAAAAAAAAATAAACAGGAAAAATTAGCTAAGCGATGTTTAGGAAAACGAAAGAAATACGAAGTCTTAAAGAGAGTGAAGAACTATATGCAATAGAAAAAGAAAAAGGAAGGCTGAGATTTTTTATGAAGGAAAGAAGCTAAAAAAAATTGTAAGCATAAAAGAGATGACTCCCCATGCTCAACGAGAGCAGCTGAAGAGATGGCGAGAAAATAAACGCAAACATATGAACAGCAAAACAAGAAGGAAAACAAATTCAAGAAATTGTATTACATAATAGTAAAGAAGAAGCTACTGGAAAAGAAGAAACTTCTGGCTTAGCTGACCCTATTTATCTAAATTTAGATTTAATCGACGATGTAAGTAAAAGTCAAATAATATCAGAAGAAAGTACACAGAAGGATGTGACGATATCTATACATATAATAAAAATGTAAATGGCAGACGTCTGTAGATTTTATATTTTTGTAATAAGTGATTGAGAGATACTAAAAATAAGTAATTAAATACATTTCTACCGTTTTTAGAATTGTCTGTCTGTCTGTCTGTCTATTTGTTTGTTAACGTATCACATATAAAGTACTAATTTATATCATGAGAATCGTTAACGAAATTATAAAGTGTATCTTCAGGTTACATTTAGTCTTTATTTCATTAAAATCAGTTCATTCCATCAAAAGTTATGATAAATATTCTGAAGTATGGGTACGAGGTATAGGTATGTACGAATTTGTTCAATCAATGGCGTTGATTGAGTCATCAAGTGCATTTTAAACTAATATCATATTATAAATCATAATTAAATGATGTTCTATAATGATATAATTATATATAAAACGTAGTAAACAAAAGTATTAAAGAAAAAGAACGTAATAAGTATAAGGACAATAGTTAACCAATTTCATCGATAGGGGGCGGTGTTATACAAATGTAAATACAAAAAGGCAGGTTGTGGTTTTTATGTAGATGAGTTTTCATATTTGCTGTTAACCTTTATATTAATCGTTGCCCTACTGCGTGTTGACAAACTCAATTATTCTTTACCGCCGAGTAATCTAATCTATACATATAATAATCTGTAGAAAAGTCGTGTCTGTAATTCTAATATATTCTTGAAAAAACAAGTCCAAGGGACTAAATAAAGGGTTCTGAAGCCAAATTAGTGGTTTTTAGAATTTTTGTCTGTCTGTCTGTCTTTCTGTCTGTCTGTCTGTGTATTCCGGACTCACGTAAAAACTACTGAACCGATTTACATGAAATTTTATATATACGTAGTGAGTAGCCCGGGGCAACTTATAGGCTACTTTTTATCCGATTACGGAACTTCAAAAAAGGTAGGTTATGTATTCTATTTCATTTATATGTTAATTTTCTATTATATCTTAGTTATAGGCGAGATGACGGGTGATTTTCAAATTAAAACCATATTTCTAAATAAAGTTTAAAATATAATTATAATCTTGGTAAAATAATTTGAAACTACACTGATTTGGTATTCAAATCAACGCCATCTATCATCAAATGGAAGAAGTAGTATATTTTACCTTCAGTTACTAATAAATGAAAAATAATATAAATAACTTACATTTATATGATTAAATGATTAGATTTTTAAAATTATTAAAAAAATTCTAACGTTTAGTCTTTTAGTATTTTTGTTATTTTATTTTAAAAGTGTAATAATTTCATTAGATAATAGTGAATAGTCTATCAAAAATTGTTAAGGTATATATTTATTTAAATTACTAATATATATATATATATATATATATATATATATATATATATATATATATATATATATGTAAAGTAATTAAAACTGGTCTGTCTGCAATTGTTGCAAAATTTTCATTATCATTATAGTATTATTAAAGAGATTTTTATGTATGTCGTGGTCAGATCGGAGAATTGATAATACCTTTATCATAAAGTAGTCTATCATTTCGTGAAATGGTGTGGTTATTTCATGATATTTACCACTATTTGTTGACCATGTCATGATATGGCTTGACCAAATCAATGAATAGAAATCGTTTGAAGATATTAATAACTAAACACAACGTTGCTATTTCATAATATAGTTATATGACAATATCATTTAATCATTTTCACCGTTAGGGGCGCTGATAGCATATTTTTTAACAGAAACAGAACTTTTAAGAGAATTGACATCACTTTATTCCTTATTGATATAATAAATAAATGTTAGCTTCTGTTGCTGATATTACTAGATGGTATAGTTTTGGCTTTCATTATTTCATCTAATATTAGCGCCACCAAGTAGGTGGCGCTAATATTAGACTTCTAAATAAACTAAAATGGCAAGTCATCGATAAAATGAAATAATACAATGCTACTGAACATACAATGTAAATAATTGGATCATTTACATTACATTCATCCCGCGTTGGAATCACCGCAGCGAAGACTTTTTGGTCAAAAACTTTGCGGCCTGTGCCCAGTAGTAACATGTATGTAAGCTACTACTTTTTTTACTTTTTTATATTATGCAGATTTTACTTCATTCGTGTTTTCGGCTATGTTACTTTTTGTTTTCACTCTGCCGTAAATATTAAGGCTTGCAAAGATGAGTAGAACTCATTATCGTCAGCCTATCAAAAGTCCACTGAGATGAACATAGGCCTCCCCCATAAATTGTCAAGTAGCTGGATATTTGCTATAGTTGCCACGCTTCGTAGGCGGGTTGGCAACCGCAACTATTATTATTTTGATCTGTTGTCAAGAAGATGATGCAGCCCATCCCATCTCCAGTTTGTTTTCCTATGTCGCCTCTTACGACGGGTCGATATGAGGTGGTGGATTTTCTTTCACCGCCACAACAAGGCGGACATTTTTCTACACCATAGGTGTAGTGCTCCTCACGTTCACTGTGAATAAAATTTATAAGGAATAAAACTAATTTGAAGGATTTTATCGCGTTTAATTTTAACTTTTCAAATTCTATATATATATGTTATAGGATAAGGGTGACAAACGAGCACACAGTCCACCTGATGGTAAGTGGTTGCTGCGGCCCATAGACATCTACATCTATCCTCTATTACAAATCAAAATGTAGACGCGTTGTTACCCGTGAGGACTAAGATGGAATGCCTCATTTCCAGTAAAAAGGGCCTCCGGCCACCTGTACTCACCAAGCGAAACGCAGAGGTAAACCTCTACTTCACGCTGGTTTTCTGTGAGGTCGTGGTACCACCCCGGTTCGAGCCGGCCCATCCGTGCGACAGCAAAAGCTGCCGTGTGGCTCTACCACTGTTAAAAATTATAATGATGTATATAATTATTATTATATATAATGATATTATATATAATGATATATATAATAGCCTCGCGAATCATCATTGGTAGGATTCGGTGTTCTATTGCAAGGATTTGTTGTCTATCAGATCCGATATAATGGTTGGGACGATACTAAACATGTTGACATACTTTAGACTTCCCGAAGCTTCGGTGCTTCACATCAATGATATGTTCTTTTACTCAGAACTGTCATCTAAAATGCATAAAAAATCCGTAACATTAGTTTTAATCGATGTGTAGTATTCATTATTATATGTAGATCTCTATTTATGAAGTCTATTTTCAAGTAAAAAAAAATATCTACATCTATCTTATGTATGTTTGTGACTAAAATCATTATGGGGACCGAAAATCATTAAATAAGTACATTTTTATAACTTTTGCAATTGTCTGTCTGTCGGTCTGTCTGTTTGATTATGAACGCATAACGTTTTGAGTAAACCTCTTTTTTGCAAAGTAGTCGTTAAGAAAATCATAAAGCGTATATTCGAGTTCATTTTTAATCTTTGTTTTATTAAAATTGGTTAATTCTATCGAAAGTTATGTTTATTCATTTGAAATCTAGGTTCGAATTTGTTTAAAGGCGCCATAAAACTCAGAAATAGTAATAAAAAGATTCGTGTGTAAAAAAAACGTTCTATTATAATATACTTAAAACACAGTAAACAAAAAATATGTTTTCCTTAAATTAAAAAAAGGATGTTTTCTCACAAAGAACGTATTAGATCGCGTTGTATAAATTACAACTTTTTCTGAATTGCGGTGGCGCCCCTTTTTCCTAAAGGGGGTCGCTTCCGATTCGGCAGGAAGGCCATAATGGCCAACGCCAGTCCCACAGGTGGTGTATAGTGGGTAAGCACTTCTTCAAAGTGAGTCCCGCATAACCACGCAGCCGTCTGCCGTGGTATGCTATGAGCATTCACCACCTCACTCCCCCGCTTCCAAAGGGTAGCCTCGCTTTCGGCGCAAAAGAAAAAAAAAGAATTGCGGTGTTAAGATTTTTCGCTTTTTTTTAATCGTATTGAGACTCACTGAAGAAATTTGTACCCATGAGTACGATGAAGTTGAAAGAGCCGTGTAGGCTAACAGCACAAACATCACCAGAAACCAGAAAAGAAACACGCCCACCCAAGCTATGCAACGAAACTCGATTAAAAACAAATAAAATTGCAACAAAATGTCGTGATATTGTTTTTATACCCAGAATCCCTCTAATCCCAAA